TTTTTTAAAAATTAAATCCCAAACCCACCCCCCCCCCCCTTCCCCAATGCTAGGCATCCTCACTGCCCAGATCCCTGCAACACATCAAAAATGTTGGTGAAGATTAGTGACAATACTCAATAAAGCAAACCCAGTGCCCCTCATGTGACAGCACTGGTAATTGGCCAGGGCAGTGGGTGGGTTGCATGTTCCCAAAACCCAGAAGTACTGGGGCTATCACTTTTTATTGGTCAGAGGCAGTCAGTCATGAGAACTGGCTGGGCTGAATTCTTTGACTGCAAGTTATTGAAGACTTTTTATTTAAACTTTTTGTGAACCAGAGTAAAGCCTTCTTAAAGCAGAAGGTGTTTACATGTTATTGCTGCCAACACAGATCCCAAAAATGTATGCAATTTGCATGTTTAGGTTTGTAACACTACTTTAAATCCTGGCAAAGATATGGGTGCTTTCTGCCCTCTAGTGGGTAAAACTGGTATAGCAAGTGCCTAGTATTGTTGCAACATAGCCTTTAAAATGTCAGTGTTAGGAAAACTTCAGTGTTAGGGAAAAGCCAGCTGGTTCACATAAAAAACCCCAAGAACTCATATTTTCATTGGGTTTGCATTGAAATCTAAAACTTCTCCTAGCTTATCAACCCAATATAAAAAGTGAATGAGTCAGTCAAGTATTATAAAATGAATTGATTACACCTCTTGAGTGTAATCAATGACCGGAAATTGTATCTTTTTGCAAAATGTATAAATGTATCCAGAACTGCTGGAAAAGCAATTTTCTCAAGGTGGCTCAAGTCTGTATTTCTCTGTTTTTTAATTACGTTAACCTTTTTATTTTCTCTTTACCAGCCTGATTTTTAAATGTGACAAATAAATATAGAAAACATTAGCAGGCACGTAAGACAAACTCTTTATAAATAAGCCCACTGTATAGCACTTGTGCATGCACAAAACTGTTGTTATAGTGAGACCCCCACAATGCATACCCACTTTGTTGAAATACTTTGCTGCTTTGGGATTCCACAGTGCCTTTGGGTCATGGGATCTCTGAACCCCAATCCTCCCCTTCTGTAGAGATGATGAGACCAATACCCAAGCCACCATGGGATCTCTGAGAAGTAGTCTCTAGAGTGGCAAAGGTTTCTCCCACTTTCTAATACCTTTTATGACATCAGTGTGCATGTATTGGTATAAAAGTTAGTGTCTATCTATCTATCTATCTATCTATCTATCTATCTATCTATCTATCTATCTATCTATCTATCTACACCCACATTTAATATCAGGCACCTCCAAGAGTCTGGATGCAGTTCCACCTTTTTCCTAGAGAACCTCTGGTGTCTTCAAACCCTGCTTTTAAATACAAATCTTGACCCTACCTATTGGTCAATGAGGCCATCCATCATGCTTGACCAGTATATGACCAATAGGATATAAAGGCAGGGCTAAGCACAAACTTTCTAAGTTTAAATCAAGATTTACATATTAAAGTAGCCAGGGTTTAGAAGTCTCAGAAAAAGCTAGAAGTTTGTGCATATACCTGGAAGTGCCCACCACTATACTGTAGGTAACAGATTACTAACTTTTATACCAGTATAGGTGTGCTTTAAAGTAGCAGAGTAAGCAGGGTTAGGGAGGCTTATTTGACTTTAATGCTGAGTAGATATCACAGAGACCTGACTGACATTCTGCATTGGGACCCGACGAGGTTTAGCTACACCTCTATATGTGTCAGGGACCAGAGCACCTCAAGGTGGCACTGTGGAGCTGGAACCTGACCCTGCAGTTCCAGTGCTCGCCTGCAGATGTCTCCCAGCAATTAGGCACCACCTGGTGCTGATCTGGGAGGGTATTTAACCTCTCCCTGCAGTGAGGCCTGTGCTTCAGTATTGTTGCCATAGCCTGTTCCTGTTGCCTGTATCCTGTTCCTGCCTTGTAACCTGACTTGGACCTGACTCCTGACCCTTACCCCTGAGGTCTGAGATCAGTGGCTGCCTCCTTGTTGTCCTGCTCCCCAGGGGTTGCCCTGTTGTCTCTGGGGTCTAATTATTACTTATATTTTTACATGTTACTTGTGGGTCGTTGTGGGGGTGTTTATGGTTGTGGTGTTTTGGTGCAGCTAATAAATTATAGTTTGTAAGGATTTGTGGTCACGTATTAGTTCTCTTGTATAGATACTTGCATGTGGTGGGACACCCGTTCACGGTATCGTGACAATATACTATTATTCTTAATTTGCTTCAGTTTTTCTAGGTGAGCCTAATTATGTCTAAGAATCCTCTTTGGTGTCACAATGACGTTGATCTTAGAAAACTTTGCCTGTCAACAAGATATCGCTGTGTTTTCATAGTTTAGACTCCTAGTAAATTCCCTTCTCCTTTTGGTGTATTGTATCCCACAGACCCGTGGAAAGAATACTACAGAAAAGGATACAAAGAAAGACTTTGTGGGAGACCACGATTGCCTATAGTCTGTAATGACGCCCAGGTAATCCAGGGTATAGTACTCATATATTGATTATTTGTATAGACGGGCTTGTACGAAATGTACAGCATAAAAAGAATTCTTGAGATGCTTTTGAGCATGGCTTATCTCTATGTACACATTAAAAAGTCCCTGTTAATGAGGGCCTGTAGTGCTAAGTTAATATCTGATTATTCACTCAATCAGCCTGTTCTATAAAAAGTTCAAGAATGCAAAAATGTAACCTTGTCCTGTAATGTCATTGGTACCCAGTCATATGACCAATGTCATGGCACTGCTCACATAGTCTCAGGCTGATGTTTAGGCAGAGCTAGATTGGCAGCCTACTGACATCAATCCCTTATTGGTAGAGATCACATGAAGTGTTTTCTTCTGGCTGTTCCATCTCTATCTCCAGCAGCTTTTCAGAAGCCCAGTGCCAGTAACACATAACCCACATACAGCCCCATTGCTTTTTAACCAAACTGTAAAACCATAATAACTGAAATAACTAAAAGGCAACTGTTAACTTCTCTATAGATTACTCCTTTACAAAACAAGGACTCCTTCACAACACTGGATCAAAAGAAATCTGTGCAATGTCCAGAACAAATCTGCTCTGACATTTCACATGAAGCAACGGTCTGATTAGTTAAAATCAGCCTCACTTATTTTGGTAACAAAGTTCACGGTATTGTCATGAGTCCATTTCTGACTCTGTGTTTTAACCACCAGTTCAATTACCTGTGACAAAAGATTGACAGACATTGACATTCGCTTCCACAGCTGAATGGACGACTTTGAATGGTTAATGCATATGGGTTTGAGCTACTGTCAGAGCACTATACACACATGTGAGATGTGAAAGAATAAGTCTACATACGGGCAAGTAACCGTTCCTGGGGGAGGGAGCACGGCTCCGCGGCTGATGAAAGACAAACAGGTGGTGAAGCGGTTCATACGGCACCAACGGAGACCAGCGGCAGACAGCATGGAGAAGGGAGTGGTAGGGGAGGCAGGGAGGCCAAGGAATGACAGGAAGGAGGAAGTTTGAGAAACAAATACAGGAAGGACACAGACAGCAGAGGATAAAACCACAAAAGCAACACAAACACAAGTGAAAGTCAGAGCAGAGATAGACATAGGCAAAGTGACAATGGGATGGCAATGAGGGCAGGAAGGGAGAGTGGTACAAAAAGGAAAAGATACAAGTCAGCAACAGTTACAGTTGAGGAGATACATGAATACAGTTAAAAACTGGACAATGTTGATGTCATAATGAGTAACCACATAATGAAGATGTCTGGGGTCCTTCTCACTCAGACAGACCTGTATGGGAGAGTGATAAACTCCTAGGATGGTGGTGTAAGTCTTACCTAAAGAACACCAAGGCAGACATCCTGTGGCATCAGGGAAATAACCTATCCAATCTTAGAGAATCAGACACATCACTTCCTAAGAAATACAGTAAAGACAGCTGTTTCTGGACTAGGTTACTTTCCTGGGGAAAGCAGATTTTCATTGTCTTTGGTCCAATTACATAATTGCCTTTAAGTATTGAGGAGGCATTTTGTGGTATGGACCAATGTGTAGACAGTGTAGCCTGTCCATTTTCTAGGTAATCAATGACACCACTTCCACTGGACTTTGGGAGAGGTGGAAGCTTTGTGGTTAGTATCTGTGATTATGCAGTCTCTAGGAAAAGAAGACATACCTTCCAAGCAGTATTAAAGAATAAAGTTGGTGACAGCATAGTCTATGCATTGTTTAAGGGTCAATGACATCACTTCCTAAAGAGTACTAAGAAGAATGTTTTGGTACGGATGAGTGTTGGTGACAATGCAGTCTATTCTGTAGGGTAAGTGATATAACTTCAAAGAAGTACTAAAATAGGATTTTTGACATACTGTGCTCTGGCATATTATTCATGATATGATCTAGTGATCCTCCAAGAACCAAAAACATAATTGAGGAGTACATGGACATGTGCTTTGACCAGTACTAGTGACAATGCAGCCTGTGCACTCTATGGGCCCATGTGACATCACTTCATGAGGAACTTGGCAAAAGCAAACCATTTGGGTCCAATGAACAAAACTGAAGCAAGCAAATATCGAGATTCGGTAAGGCAGCTGGTCATAACCAGCTGATGCCTTGGCCTATTTGTCCAATGAATTGGCTCATAAGGATAACAGCCCAGGTTTCCTTGCTCCATTTTTCCAACAAAAGCCACGTCTGTGGCCTGTACTGATATTCATGACAGTACAGTCAAACCATTTTCTAGGTAGCAGTGACGTCACTTCCTAAAGACTAATGCAGAAGCAGCCACGTTGGAGCCATGACTTGTCTATAACAAAGATAACATGGTCTAAAAGCTCCTAGCTACTAGCTAGCACATAAATATTGGTTCTGTCCTAACAAGGGCTGCATGGTCTTTGTAGGCAACAGATAGCTTTTACATAAACCCTGGTAAAAACTACATTTTATACAGCCCTGCACTTACATGAGCTTCTGCAGCCAGACGCGGCATGGACACTGCTCGCCCTTGTATCTCCAGTCCGGTCGGATGCTCTCCACCGTTGGACAGACTTTGTCCAATTTCTTTCATTTCTACAGACTGAAGCAAGAAAATACTCCAAATTACGATACTTAGATAGTACAGAACCACATTATTAGTAGTATTCAATAAATACTTGAAAGTTTTCCAAATACTGGTTTTCGTAAATGTTTTGCCAGCCATTTCTTAGTCTCAACTTTGCCTAGTGAACTGCCTAGTGACTCTGGTGCTGATCTGTATGTCTGCATTTTATTTTGGAGAGTACTTTGTATATTATCCAGGTTCAGAGGGTTTTTTTTTTTTTTTGCAGATATAAGCTAAAAAACTTACTGAAAAAGAGAATACAATTATGGTAAGAAGTGGTAAATATAGGGATACCTGCTTGACCTGCCGCTGGGTATGGATCTCCTCTGAGTTGCCCCTCTGGAATGCGGTGCTCCGTGGGGTGGAGAAAGGGTCTTGGGTTGGCTGCGTTCCCCATGAGCTTGACTCCCGGATTCCACTATCTGGGTTGGGTCTGCAATAAGAACAACACATTTGTCACTACTAATCTGTTCAAGTGATCATTTTTAAAGTTGACTTGTAGTTTGTGAAATATCAGTTTAATGCAATGGATGGATTTTTCTAATACAAGTAGCCCCCAATTTATGCTGGGGTTAGGTTCCTGAGGGAATTAACCGGTGTTAATTGAAACCCAGTATATAATGTAAGTCAATTGGAAGCAAGGGAGTTTTGTTCCAGACCTTTCTCAAAATTGACATAAGTAATAAAATACAGGTACATTATATTTAAAGCTTCTGCATGAGCTCACACAAGGAGCTTTAAATAAAATGCACCTGTATTATGTTACTTATGTCAATGAGAGAGGATTGAAAGCTATCTTCCTCACTTTCCACTGACTTACATTATTTACTGGGTTTCTGTTTACACCAGTCTATATTTAGAACCATTCCTTGTTTTAAGGGAGGCCTGGAACCTAACTCCCTTCCTCCCCACTGACATACACTGTACATGAAATATTTGGTTTCAACTTACAAAACCCCCCAAAAAAGGAGGTATTTTGAATCAGTGCAAATTGAACCGTTGTAAACTGAGGGCCACCTGTATATCTTTTTTCAAAATAACAATTTTCAGGGCTGCTTCTTTTGCAGCTGGCTGGACACCATTTTAGAACCAGTATGCAGATTAGGAAGTTTTACTTCTCACTGACTTTCCTGATCTCTATGCTTATTCTGGCAAGTGTCTCAAAATATTAAAGCTAGAGAAGGCTAGCCCCTTTTCCAGAAGTTTCATAAAAAATCCCTTCTAAAAGCCCTGTGCACCTGGGATAACAGGAAAAAATAATTTTTGGACTGCAAAAAGTGATATAATAGTATTCTTAAGTCTCTTAACTGGAGTACTTACACCACACCACCGTTGTTTAAGGATGCCGAGCTCTTTTGTCGAAGGAACATCTTGCTGTTACCAAACGGGGCAGGAAGGTTCTGTTCCAGAGTAGCTTTTAGTGGCTGGAAAAGCGACACTGTTCCGGTCTGTAACATGCAATACAGTAGCAAACAATAAGAACTCATGTTAAAGCTATTAGTGGCTTCCTTATTTATTTAATACAGGTATTTATATAGCGCCAACAATTTACGCAGTACTTTACATAGTTGCACATTCACATCAGTCCCTACCCTCAAGGAGCTCACAATCTAAGGTCCCTGTCTTACATGCATACATAGAGGGCCAACTTAGGGAGGAGCCAATTAACCTACCAGCATGTCTTTAGAGCAGGGGTCCTCAAACTTTTTAAACATGGGGCCAGTTCACTGTCCCTCAGACATTGCTGGGGGCTGGATCATAGTGTGAAAAACAGGGGGGGGGGCGTGGCTGTGGTGCCGTACCGCCAGGCCCCCTACCGTCCCAGAACAACGGGGGAACGTTAGTGAGCAATTGCTGTGCGTTCCAGCAGCTGCTGCTCTGGTGTGAATGGCGTTACACTGCTAAAGGAACCAAGGCATTTGGTTTGCCTCGGCATGCGCTCTGAGATGAAAGGGCGCAGCTGCGCAGGCAGAACACAGAAGCTGCCAAGCTTCCGGAACAGCCTGTGTGTCTTCCCTGACACCCAGGCGGGGCCGGCGGAATGACGATCTCTCCCTGGACCCCGCGGGCGGGCGGCCAACCGATTGATTGCTGTATGTTTTTTAGGGCGGCTGGGCCTATTTTAACTGCTTGAAGACCAGGTGTTTACACCCCCTTCCTGTCCAGGCCATTTTTCAGTGTTCAGTGCTGCGGTACTTTGACTGACATTTATTTCGTCATGCAACGCTGTACTGAAATTAATTTGATACCATTTTTTTGGGAAAAATAGAGCTTTCTTTTGGTGGTGTTTAATCACCACTGCGGCTTTAATTTTTTTACTATATTTCGGGAAAATTACAGAAAGTTTAAAAAAAAAGTTTTTTTTTACATTATGTTAGGAAACATTTATTATCACACAATTTTTTGGTAAAATATAAAAGATGGGGTCACGTCGGGTAAACAGACACCAAACATGTCAAGCTTAAAAATTGTGCGCACTCGCAAAATCGCAAAAAAACACCATACCCAAATTGGCCATATGCGACGCTTTAAAAACTTTTACAGCTCATCAGTTTAGTGTTATCAGTGATTGATGGCCCTAGACTTATTGCTCTCCCTGCGACGTTCGCGGCGATATGTAACATGTGCGGCGATATGTAGCATGTGCGGCGTAGTGGGCGCAATTGTCGTTTTCGCAGGTATGCGCACCTGCCGCATGTTTGCATGCGTGTATGTAAGGGTGGGGACTTTTTAAAAAAATTTGTTTTTTTTTAAATTCTTTTTTATGTGTAACAATGTGTTTTTTTATGTGTAAAAAAACAAAATGTAATCTTTAATTTTGTTTCCTATTTTTTTTTCCACTTAGCTTTATTGCTATTACATAGGGGGCTAAGAAACCCCCCTACATGGTAGCAAAAGATGTGACAGGTCCTCTTTATGGAGACATCAGGGGTCTCCAAGACCCCTAATGTCACCTAGGACCCCCGAAGAAGCTGATGAGCCCAGGATCAGCTTGACAACGGGAGGGGGGACACGGGCCGACCTCCCATACAAGCGATACATCGCTTGTATGTTAACAGGCATCGCTGCCTGTTTTTAAATTGACTGGATTGCCCGATCACAAGTGGGCGTGGCTTATCTAGAGAGCCCCACCCACTGGCTCTCTAGTAAAGGTAGGTGCCTGCAGCTCCCCAGCCTTGACACCGACTAAGGACCCTGGCGGGCCAGATGTGGCCCACGGAGCATAGTTTGAGGACCGCTGCTTTAGAGGGTGGGAGGAAACCAGAGTACCCAGAGTAAACCCACACAAGCAAAGGGAGAACATGCAAACTCCTTGCAGATATTGACCTGGCTGGGGTTCAAACCAAGGCAAGGCAGACGCACTAACCACTACGCCACTGTGATTTATACTTTCTGCCCCAACCTGTAGGTGAATTGTCTTGTGCCAGTCCCCACCTACTCCAGGCAACTGGCCAGACATAGTTTAACACTAACAAGATTAGATGTCACTCAAGGCACACCAAGGCTGATGGAGAGGCTGAAAAAGACATTTTGAACACACTCGGCCTAAGTTCCTAAAGGAAAAAGTACAAATTTGCGTATGTGAAATGAAATTGTGCATAATTGCCTCTGATTCAACAAAACCTTTGTGCACACCAATATGTTGAAAAATCATAAGTGTTGAGTTGGGAGAAAACATTTTTGCTTACTCTAATGAAAGAGCACACAACATGAAAAGATAACAGGCAAGAGAGTGTTCCTTGAGAGTGATTGCTGGCCTTCCATTAACATAGGTAAGACCGTTATTAGGAGCCATGGTAAGAAAGAGTATCTTACATTTCCTACCAAATAAAGCACAATATAAAAGAAATACAATCTGGAACGATAATGGCAAGGATTACATGGCTTCAGGATTTATTTTAAACATAATTCTATTGCCCTAACACTTCTCCACAGATACATTTGTAGAGACCAGTGGTGGATCCAGGGAGGGGAAAGAGTAATGTCACTTTCGGCATTTAGCCGAAAGTGCCATTTTCGGCCGGCGCCCCCCCTTCACTTTTCGCCTGGGGCCCGCGCCCCTGCTGCCCCCCTGGTTGTTACGCCACTGGCTGCGCCCACACCTGTCCTGTCTGTGAGACTGTCCAGACCCCTGGTGAGAGCCCACACTGGCCACCTGAGAGCCCCACTAACCACCCGAGAGCCTGCACTGACCACCTGGGAGTCCCACTAACCACCCGAGAGCCAGCACTGACCACCTGGGAGCCCACACTAACCACCCAAGAGCCCGCAGTGACCACCTGAGAGTCCACATTGACCACCTGAACACCTCACTGACTACCTGAGAGCCCGCACTGGCCACCTGAAATCCCACTGGCCACTTGAGAGCCCACACTAACCACCAGAGAGCCCCCATGATCTCCTAAAAAAACACTGACCACCTGAGAGCCCACACTGGCCACCTGAGAGCCCACACTGGCCACCTGAGAGACCGCACTGGCCACCTGAGAGACCGCACTGGCCACCTGAGAGTTTGTAGTCCTCTATACCTGAATGTATTATTCTCCAGTGCAGTATAATGTATTGCTGGGATTTGTAGTCCTCTATAGCCGGTGCCATTCTGCATTGCTGTACAATTTATTGCTGGTATTTGTAGTCCTCTATAGTTGGTGGTGGTATTCAGCATTGCTGATTTACTGTAAAATGTATTGCTGGGATTTGTAGTCCTTTGTAGGTGGTGGTATTCTGCATTCCTGAGACCCCACACAGCCTCCTAAGATCCCAGAGAGCCCCCTGAGACCCCACACAGCCCTCCTGAGACCCCACACAGCCTCTTGGCAGTTCTGTAAGCAACAGCTTGTTTTCTGGCAGTGCCCCTCCTGAGACGAGTCTCTGGATCCGCCCCTGGCAGAGACAGACATGTCCCTTCTGCATAGACGACTATGTTCCCCAAATATAGCACTTACTAAAGATATTTAAGTAAGTGGCACTTATATTTAGAAGAATACAGACACAATTTAGAAACTACCTATATAATAGTGAACTTGTGTTGGAAAACAGGGAACACTTACCTAGGATCCAACCGTCTTCTAGCAGGTCCCGGCCAATGAATAACAAGTGGCGGGAGCTGACCGTGATGTCACGGCCAGCTCCGCCCATTTGTTATTGTTTAAGGACAGTTCAGCATCCCCAGGTCATTTGGGGACACTGATCTGTGAGTACAACTGGGTCGGAGCCAGCCGTGAGATCATGGCTGGCTCCGCCCAGCTATCTTTTGCGGGGCGAATGGCCAGCCTTTGGCAGGCCGTTCACCCCGATTCAACTGTCACTTCGGCTCGGTCGAGCCGAAGCATATGCCTTAGGCTGCTGTACGGGCTATAGTGACTGAACCGAAGGGCTCCAGCGGCCGAAGAGAGCCGAAGGATCAGCCAAAGCTACGACTGGATCCTTCGGCTCCTATACGAGTAACCCCCTAAAACTTTTAAACATCAAGGAGCAGAATTCATTGTTGGTGATTTAATCAGCATTTGAAATAGCTTAAAATCTTGTTGACTTTAATATCACTTTAAATCTCCTGTCTAAAATGAATTCAAGAATAATTGGGGAGATACAAAAAAACACCCTTTACATATAAATCAATAAAGGTATTTTTACAATAATGCTACAGTGATACCCTTAATGATACTTTTATATATATGTGCCATATTCCTCCATGCATCAGGAATCAGACTGGCCCAAGTTATGCAATTAGGCTCTATGACATTGCACAGTGCAATCACTCTAACATATTTCAAGCACCAGAGGTTGATGTGGATTGTGTAGTTTGGAGAACCGGAAGGCCCTCACAGTGAATGATGCTCGTTGTCAGCCCAATGAACAGGCAGGGGGCACAGAAGTGACAGAAAAATGTGAAAAGTGGTGTCGTTTTTTTTAGCTACATACTGCAGCAGGGATGTGTAAATCACCAGTGTGGTGTTTTGGTAGGAAAATTATCACTGTTTTAGCTGCTTGGCTGAAGTTCTGCTTTAATAAAATGCTGAAAACATGATGTGTCAGGTGTACTTGAGAACTGCAGTGGAGAAACACTGGCCCAGAGGGATAGTTAAAACTTTGTTATACGACAAGAGCTGTATTAAAACTCTTTGTATATCACATACCTGACTTAATACAAGACACGGTCCAAGCACAAAGCAAGACCCTCAGTATTCTGCTGCCCTCTAGTGGCAACTTTATCTAGCTGCCCATATGCGAACTACCAAACATTTTACAGAACCAGCCGCAGCTACCAATCATACATTTCACATTGGGCATTTGTATATCACATATATTCCCATTACATTTGCTATGTACCTGAGCTAAGACTCCAGGTGGCTGGTGAGACTGGTCCCGGTTTTTTTTGTTCAGCTTGTAAAAGTCAAAGATCATAAGAGCTGCATAAACTTTTCCGACAGTCATTTCATCCGCTGTGAGAAAAAAGCACAGTGGTAAATCCAATGTCACCCACTCCCTAGTTCTGATTTTCAATATGACAGGATGAGTTAATCCCTCTCTGGGTTTTTTTTATCTGTATAAATGTGTTTCTTTTTAATACCTTCAAATGCAAATAATCTTACCTATAATATTTTAAAAACCTTGGGGGTGATTTATCAAAACCGGAGCAGACAAAATCTGGAGCAGTTGCCTCTGGCAACCAATCAGCTTCTCTCTTCAGTTTGTTCAGTTAAGCTTTGAAAATAAAAGGTGGGTGCTGATTGGTTCCCATGCACAGCTGCTGCAGATTTTGTCTGCTCCAGTTTTGATCAATTCCCTTCCTTGTACTTATGTATTTCTTTTTGTCCTGCGTATTTCTTTTGATATAGTAGTTTACATAGTTTTGCTTTAGAGATGCATGTGTAGACAATCTTATTGATGTCTGTTAATGCGCTAAATGTTTCTTTGTACAGTTTGTAATTATATAGATGGGAACAGCCATATTTGCTGATCACATATGCAGGTTCCACTTACTGCTTTGCGGTAATACACAGTGATCGTCTGACTCACTGAAAACATTACTGATCTATTTCTCAACATCTGTTACACAGTTGGTTAGAGTCATTGTAGGAGCTTGTGCACCCTGCCTTTAATGGTTACTCTACAAAATGTACAATAAAACAATTCAAAGGAAGAAGAAGCTTTTTATAATGTGAAATCCACATTAAATTAACTTTAAAATAAACAGAGCATCCATGACTCAATATTTGTGCTTGTTAAAAATACATATACAATACATGTTGAGTATACATTGATCCATTCCCTTTCATTCCAAACCCCTCCAGGGTACGCCCCATGGAATCTCCTGAAGGGAGCTGACTGTGTCTGAATGTCAATGTTTTAAAACCCTTTGAATAGACGATGGAATCATTACCATGTTCTTGGCCCCCATAACAGCCACAGAAAAGGTCTGAAACTAGAAGAACTACATGACAAAGTGATTTAAAGCGTATCTAAACAAAATAACAAAGATTTTTTTTATATGATTTAGCTTACCAGCCCTCACATATGGTGGCTGCATGCATTTCCTTTTCTTTATGTTCAGCTGGTGATTCTGCCTGGAGCACACTTCCTGTCCTAAGGTGACAACGTTCCTTCATTTTACTGCATCTAAGGAGGAGCAGCGTTGTCACCCTTTGCTGCTTTAAACTACAGAAAACTATCCCCTCTCCAAAACATGGAGATTTCTTTGCACTTATTGAACAGGTAAAACAAAACTATTTCAATTATATATTTTATAGACCAAACGGGAGCAAATAAGAGAAGTTCATTGTTAGGGTTTCCATACACTTCAACCACCCTATGGTGGTAAAAAAGAAAATGTTTATTAAGTGCATTTAGTCTATTTAAGAATGACATAAAATCATTAAATAGTTAGAGGTGAAAAATGAAGGTAGCTTCTTACGCTTATGAGGGGGGACAAGTAAATCTAATGTTTTCTGAGACAAGTTGGGCCACACTGAGGAGATCTCTTTCCGTAACTCTGCGTCACTTTCATGCTGCTTAATTCCACCTGTAAAGAGAATTTAGTATGTATTAGAACTGATGCTCTTACATACAGCACAGGTGCTGACTGCACTGTCTGACTTACAGAGAAGTGTTACTTCTAGGGCCTGCATATCTGCATAAAAAAGAGATTAGGAAAAATATGGCACAGCCATTATATAAAATAACATTTTATTCCCATTCACTCGGCCGTGATTAAATATCTCTTACATTTAAACACTTTGGTTCAAACCTGTTGACACCGTATGGACCAGAAGAACCTTCACATTTCAAAGAGTTTGTTGATTTGGTACTAACTTTTGTCTTTATGTATGATACTGAAAATACAAATGCAGATCCTTTTGTTTCGTGCCCTTAGGGGGATATTTATAAATGATTTAATACTCAATTCACCAAAAATTCTTTGTGCAGCATTGACCCTATTGATAAAGAAAAGCTAGTGGACACTGGATCCAACATTTGCTCAGTGAAAATGACATTTCCAAAAGTCAGCAACATCTGTTGTTTAATAGGAGGTCTTGACTGTAACATTAAAAAAATGGTAAATGTTACCATCCCTGCACATTCACCTGACATTCCCTTAATCTTTCTGTTAATAAAATTCACCTGGGTGAGCTATTAAATCATTGCATTTCCTACTAATTGTTTACAGAGTGTTTTCAGCACAGGTTCAGCCTTTCTAGAGTTAACTTTTATTTTTTAAATAAAACATTGTAAAAAAACGCATTCTCTGCCCCCAGAGCTTATCAGCTCAGAACATCATGCATATCGGCTGGTATCCCCACAACAAGGGAGCAATGGATGTGCAGTCCAATGCTATAATAATACCAGCCCATATTCCCTTCAGCACCGGGAATGCAGCTAGTTGCAATGTATCTATTAGTGATACAAATGTTAAGCTGTTACACTAATCATTGTGGCAGGGATGGAGCCTCCCAAACATGGACCAGGACCTCAGCTTGATAGCAGGGCTCTGCAGTTACGCTGGCCAGAGGGCATCTAGTCCCAGGAGCAGAAATTGTACCATTTCCAAAAGTCAGCTCCCATATTTCTCTCATAGCAGCTGTACTTAAAACAGATACCTACTACCAGGTCATTTTGCTAAACACTCATGTTCCAGAATAAAGCATTTTTTGTTTTTGTTTTGGATACATTGGAGAAGGGTTAGGCCCTCTGCCGCATTTTAAATGTTATCTGTGGCCCCACAGTGTAGATTTCCCTTCTCTTCCTATTCTGTCTGATATCGTTCACCTGGACATAAAGTGAGGGAAAATCTCCCTATTCGGGACACAAGAAAAGCTGACAGAGTTTCAAACATTTCTTCGCTATAGCCTAAATATTTTAAGAAGGTTTTGGTTTGATTTGGGCTTTAATGAAGTCTACAAGCAGTAGGCAGCAGGTCTTCTCTAGATCTGCTCTACTCAGCCAGATGTATGCTATATCAGTGCATGAACCCTAAAGCATTCTAAGAGTCCATCTTCACCTTGAGGTCAAAGGTGATTGTCATTGTGGCTTCTTCCAGCAACAAGAGGACATTTTCCTGTGTTAGCAACAAAATGTTCAAAAAACACATGTCAAGTACACACATTCGATTGAAAGAAGAATTAACAATGGCAGAAAATGCCTAAAGCAACCCACCTGATGCCAATTTAATATCCAACGCTGTCCTGATTAACGCCATCAGCGTAGATGTGAAGTGGACAGTGAGATCTGTGTCAGAAATTGGCATGTTCATCCTTACCAAGCGCTGCAGGGAAAGCGAAATCGTCATGGTGGCCAAGGCCAGCATCAGTTTATTATACAACCACGGTTCAAGAAGGGCCAGTCTGCTACATCTCAGCCAGTCAAATGACACCCATATCTTTGTTTGGCTCAATTATTTATTAGGCATTTTACAACTGCACAATAAGATATATAATTGAACTGAACAATTGCACAAATTTGAACAATTCTCCATAGCAGTCAAATTTGATAGAATAAATAGTGAATATTTACCCACAAGGAAACAGATATGCAAAAACTATGGGTCATTTTTTGTGTATGTATTTCTTAGGAAACGTAGTTCTACATCACGTGAACCCAGGGTGGCAGCCATATGTATTCACTACATATGCTGTGCCTGCTGTGTTTCCTGCTTAGCAGTGGTTGGGCTTTGCTGCTCCTCATCCTGTAGATCAGACCCGTAAAGATTGCAATATGAAAAACAAACAAATAAAATGTGTATGCTTCATTAAATATTCCCTCCTGTAAACTATATAGTAAGAACTCCAAACATATGCAGTTTGTCTTACATGAAGAGCCATAATTAATTTTGAGGGATTTAAGTTCCTGTAGTGGATGAAAAAAACAAAACTTTACATTCAAACTGGACTGGCTGAGAGTCACAGACTGGACGCACACCTTGCACAGTAAACAAATGTTTCGACATCCATTTATAAGCGTTTCAGAAGAGAAAAGGAATGCCAGTAGAGCAACCACTGGCCCCATACTTGACTCTTCCCCAGTCTTTTTAGATTTCAGAAATAATTTCTTTACATTTTCTGCAATGCACCGGACTCACTACACAATTTCAGCTGTCTTATTTTTTTAGCTAAATTGTCTCTTAAAACACTTGTACAAGGTCTCTACTGTGTAATTGCCTGAGCTCCATTAATGCAATGAAGCAGCACGGATGCAGATAGTACTGTCAACTATACCATATAGACAGTTATCAAGAGAAACATTGAATCTGTTTTAGGAGTTAAAAATAAGAGAATTATGTGCCTGATTGAAGAATCTCCTTAATGAGTTCTCTGTCAGAATCTTGTAACATTAAGGATGTCCAGGAAACTGGGTAACCAAAGGTCAAGATTGCATTTTCGTGGGGAAAAGTCAAGGAAAAAGTATTGATAATAAGACTGTCAGCCTCAGGTGACTGAAGAGTTCTTTCCAATGACTTGTCAGAAGAGCTTCCCTTTACAAATTTACAAACCACTTAACTTGTTAGTGGCAAAACTTCTATCAGTTAAGGACTACATGGTGACTTGATATTCCACAAAGGGTAGGAAATAGGTAGGCTAATCACAATTCATATATCTCTCTGCATACCCTTTGCATGTAGTCTAAGGTAATATTGTGGCGGCACATCATTTCATTTTAAATACAGAACTGAAATGAGTACAAGCTGCATGGCAGTTTGTACAGGTGCTACCCTTTCATATGTCTAAGAGTAGATTGGTAGACAATTAAAATTTAAGAATGAGGGCTGACTTTGAGAGGCTGTGAAGCCTTCAATGTCAGACAAAGCGCAGCAGTGTATGTATCAGTTCCATTGATGTTTCTGATCCATATTTACCCACATTTCCCAGACTTTGCTACAGTTTTTGTAAGAGGAAACAGGCATACCCATCCTGCAGGAGGACAATAGTTCTAAACCATTATGACTGCTGGGACTGCAACATTTCTCAGGATCTATTATCTAGCCAATGGTGGTGTTTTTGCTATAAGTCTCCATTTTTGTAACATTCTTTTCCACAATCCCAATAGCATGGATATGTTCATGGGCTATGCTGTGTCAAAAACAGTCTATTTTAACTGCCTTTATAGCTATGGGTGACCTTTGTGGATTGATGAGAAGCTAAAATTTCCATTTTAGCCATTATAAAAATTTTGAACAAGTCAGCTTATTAATCTAAGGGTCGCCCTGACCACCTTGATCTGTCTAAGAGCCTTTTAAAGGCTGACTGGCAAATTTTAAAGGAAAATCCCCATTGCACATTTCAGTAATCTGAAGCTGACAGCAGTCAAAGTAAGGTCTATTAGGCAGGCAGCGCCATCATATACAGAAGACATGCATCCAAAACTCATGCAACAGGATCTGCAAATGATTACATGCAAGACAAGTCACGTGTTGTCTTAATGGACTATCAGACTACACATAAGAACCTGAGATAACAGAGGAAAGGTAGGAAACAGTAGTGTGAGTAGGGAAAAGATTTCTCAACAGTTGGGTTTATAACTAAATTTTGCATCCAAAGTCAGATGCTTTGTGGGTTTGAAAGATTCAAACAGCTGTGTAGAGGGTCCTGGTTAGCTAGTGTAGCCAGCAGCTGTACACAGACCACCAGTTAGAGAGATAGGAAAGGAAATTACAGGGTACAAGGATAGATACACAGCACGGCCACAGTACACAGACCAGCGAGTCACTGGCACAGAAGAGGGGGGGGGGGGGACATTTCTTCTACCTTATATGCCACACGTGCAGGGCATTTCTTCCCCAGGCCAAGGGGAGGGGGCATATGTCGCAGCATCTCGTACATATCAGTGTAGCCAATGCGCCCACTGCATCGATGGGGAAGGAAGCGACACAGGTGCAGCGGCATAGGACAGATGTACAAGGATGGAGGATGCACACCACGTCAACAAGTAACAAACAAGGATGGCAAGGAGACAGAAGGAGTGCCCAAACATTTTGGCAACATAAATAATGGACAAAAGACAATTGATTGGCACATGGATTTGGAGAGAAGTGATAAGAAAGATATTTTAAAGAACAGAAAGAACAGAAAAAAAGTGTCCAGGTCAAGGTTTCACGCAAGGCACATGAAAAATACCCATGGAGACATGATAAAACCAGCGAGACCCGAGACAAAGGAAAAGTGGAAGTGAGAAGAGCAGAAATGAAAGGAATGGAGGCAGCAGAAAGAGAGAGAGAAAAGAATTTAGCACAAATACAAAAACAAATGAAAACAAACCATGGGATGATAATGGAAGGCAAGGTACAGACATGAGGGAAGGATAGATGGCAGCCAAGGAGGGGGTTCAACATGGGAGGAAAACAGACAAAAAAAAAACATATCTGATTAGCATGAAACTGTACACCCCTGACACTCAAGCACAGGTATGTTTTTTTGTATTGTTAAGGGTTTGGCGGAGGTTAGTCAGGTGGATGGGTGGGGGGGCTTTGTATTCTTTCTGTTCAAATCATTTCACTGAAAAACTGACATTCAGCAGGAGGTGTTGAGCAGAGAGTACAGCACACATTTTCAAGGTGACATAACCATGCCCCTTGTTTTTACCACACAATGGTGGCCAATTTCAACCCTTCAATGTCTGGCGCATTACATTCCCCTGCAGTATTGAAGTGGGGGGTGAAATTTGTAATCATCATGCTTGTTAAGAGGGTCCAGGCAGCCTCACCATGGAGAACATAATCCAAAATGTAACAATATAATTAATGGATACCCTAGACCCAACTCATGACCCCCTCCAAGTGAGGCCACCTGAAGCCCTTGTTGGCGGGGTTAAAGCATGATAAGTTGGCAGCGGGCAGCACTGCTGGCCTTGCGTTGGCATGCTGACGCAGGCCACCCTGGAATTTTTTTTAGACACCCCAGGCTCCCACTTGGATGCAAACTGGCGTTCCGAGTTGCAAACCTTGTAGGCTACCCGCGATGGGCAGCGCTTCCCCAGCCCCAGTGGAGGGGCAATTACACGCAATAAATTGTACATATCCTTATAGTGAATTCGGCAACTAGAAAGAGAATAGCACAGTGTATCAAGATCAAAAACCGCCACCTCTTCCTTTCCCACAGAAGAAAACACACACAACATGAACAACAAAATGGTAATTTTTACAGCATTAAAAATAAAACGTAGATCATAGCAACTCAATAAATGTTTTTTTTTCCTACGCACAGGTTACATGATTGCCATGGTTACTGGTAATTATCTTTCTGGTTGAACAATTTTAATAAATGTCACAGATTTATCATATAAGCATTGATGTATGCATTATGCAGTTTGCCAAACGTGTCATACAGGCCAGGTTTTCTTACCTGATCCCCACGGCCAGTGCTCTCTTCTTCTTCCCCTTCGCTCTAGTTGGTGGAATGTCCCTCAGCATCCTCACGTCTAATGCCGGTCAATGGAACCTGCATTAGATGTACTGATGTCAGCAGTCTTTAGACCGCCAGAGCCCAGAGAAGAAGAGCCTGCGGGGACAATTCTAGCAGCTCGGAGAGTGAGGATCAGGTAATTATATCTGCTTTACAGCCCATAGAAAAAAACCGAGCACTTAACCCTTGAGGTGCAGGGGTATCCCCACTGCAAGGGTACATCTTTTTTTTGCCTGGAGATGGGCTGTAAAGGGCAAAGTTACAGGTTGGCTACATAGCAGGCACCCTCATTTGGTGACATCTGATCCCTCTCTCCTTCCACCCCAAAAATTCCTTATCAGGTTAGAGTTGGAGCATACACAGGCTAAAGGCCTTTCCCAAATAACCAAGTAATAGCACTAAGGCCAGGTAATTGGCTGTTTGGGAACTGAGTGCTACATTTTGGGAGGAAGAGGACAGTCACACGGTTGCCCATATCCAGACCGTACCAGGAGCTCTGGCAGGCAACTAGGTGAAGGGTAATTGTGTGAAAGGCATGTACCAGCAGAGAAAGGAGACTGCTTTGGGCAAACTACAGGTTGTCTTTTACATAGTTCTCAGTAAATTAACAGTGAAAGAGTCATTTCATACTTTTAATATCACACAAAAATACATAAAACCAATAGAAGGAATCTCTGCTGGATTCAATCTGCTGACATCTTATATTTATTAGAATCTAAACTCATAATGCTCTGGGTGCTTACTCATAATGAGTAAGCACCCAGCACGCAAAACACAATCATGCAAGCATCATAAATCTATTTATCTGAAATAATTGTGTGGAAGTGGGACCAGGCAAGATCTACTGTAGATGAAATTGTTTGCTATTGTTAGTGGATGCGATGGCCGGTCTCCCTTGTGACAGCAGGACTTCAGCTATTTCAGTAGTTAAAGTTGCTGATAGTAATAGCCTTCCTCTACTCTACTAAAAAGAGTGTTTTAATTGCTGCCAACAGGGGTTGCAATTGCTGAACTCTATTTAAAAATGCTAGCTGTCTGGCTGTCTCTAGCATCAATGCCAGGTTACTGATCCGAAACAGGTATGCAGCAAGTAAAATCAGAGCAAAGGCAGAATTCTATTGGCATCTTTGTCCCAAGTCAGTGACAGCCAGAGAGCTGGTATTCCCTACTACAGCCTCGTACTTCCCTACTACAAGTCACCTTTAATATTCCATGCTCCGTAATACACTACAATTTTCATCTTTGGTGAAACCAAGTACAGCACTAATCTAAATCGTTTTACAAAATGACTTTTGCCATATAAGGACATATTAGCTTAAACTGACACTAAACTCAGGAGTTAAACCTTTACCCATATCTTTAAATTAACAACAAATACACCTTTAGAAATGTTTAGTAATGACAATCTACAAACACATACTTCTAGATAATTGCTGCCTTTTTACTCTTTGCATACCTTATTTCTCTTTTCTTCTGACAGTCAGGGCAGCCATCAGGGGGGTACGGGCATCACTAATGTAAGGGGCCCCAGGCGACTGGGGATGCCCGAGCTCTGACCGAGCAATTTAGAGACACTGTGGATCTTTACTTTTTAAATTAAAGAGGACAGCAGCCAGTGCCCAAGGTTGAATAGGAGCCCGACGCTGGGGGTGGGTGGCCAGCGTCCTCAGCCAGCGTCGAGCCCCTATTCAGCCTTGTGCACTGGCTGCTGTCCTCTTGAATTTAAAAAATAAAGGTCCACACAGTCTGTCTGCCATTGGCCGTGCATCTGATCATCCTATATGAACAACATACAATATGATCAAATGCATTACCAATGGCAGACACACTGTGTGGATCTTTACTTTTTAAATGAATGACCGCACAGGGGCCGTACTGACCGCCCAGGAGCCGCCCAGAGGCCGCACTGACCGCCCAGGAGCTGGCCAGAGGCCGCACTGACCGCCAAGAGGCCGCACTGACCACTGCACTGACCACACTGAGCCCGCACTGACTTCCCAGAGTCCGCACTGACTGCCCAAAGCCCACACTGACAACCGCACTGACCGCCCAAAGTGTGTGTGTGTTTTGACGAAAATAAATTTTTAGTCGCATTTAGTAATCATATTAAGTTTTGTTTTAGTCGACTAAAATCTAATAGGTTTACTTTTAGTGTAATTTATGCAATTCTCTAGCATTTCCAAATTCATTTCATTATATATCCCTGGAGTATTTTTTCATTTTATTTAACTCACAGGCCCCTATCTGATGGCACATTGGAGGTGATGGGTTCTCCTTTCTCCTTCACTGGATTCAGCTGCTGAGGGAGCTGAATGTCAACACAGCAGGCATTTAGCTGCTGTGTTGACAGGCTGGCAGCAATAGCCAGCCTCTTATTGCTTATTTTAAATTGCAATAGCAGGCTGGCTATTGTACCCGCCTGCTGTCAATCAGCAGAGGAGGGAACTGAAGGAGAAAGTTCCCCATCAGGTCCTCTTCTGCTGATTGACAGCAGGCAGTGGGTGGGTGCAATAGCCAGCCTGATATTGCAATTTAAAATATCCAATAGCAGGCTGGCTATTGTTTCCAGCTGCTGATTGGAGACTTGACACCGGTGATAGAACGCCGCCAGAAGAGGAGGAACGGGGCAGAAGAGAACGGGGTGGCCAGAGAAGGAGGAACTGGGTGGCCAGAGAAGGAGGAACAAGGCGGGCAAAGGAGGAATGGGCAGCAGCGGAGGTAAGAGGGGGAGCAGTGGGGGAATGCAGTGACAGTCTTTCTTCCCTGCTTGTGCCAGGTGCATTGGTCTGTGTTCCCACTGCCTTTGCCGATACCGGCGGGGAGAGCAGCGGGGATTAAGAGGGACACAGACCTCTGCAGCCAGCACCAGTGGGGAGGAGAACATTGTCGAAAATTGGGTACCGGACGAAAATCGTTTTCGTCCTATTAACTACTCTTTAATTTCTTTTTTATCACTGAAAAACGGGCAAAAAACTTTAGCCGAGGAAATGAACACGGCTTGAGAGCCCGCACTGGCCACCAGGGAGCCCGCACACCCCCCCTGAAACCCCACAAAACCCTCCTGAGACCCTGGAGACATCAGACAATGAACCCGCAGGAACACCACAGGGTATGTAGCTTCATAGTATTCTGCATTGCTGTATAATGTATTGCTGAGATTGGTAGTCTCTCTCTACAACTTGGAGTCAGTAGCAGTTCTACCAGACTCACAGCTACAGCCGGGCCATGGCGCTCCACCACTGACTCCAAGCTGTAGAGAGACTACAAATCACAGCCCGGATCGGAGGAAGAGGGCCCTGGTGACCTTCGACATTTCCACCAAAAGGCCCACCGAAATCCTCAGCACTAGGCCCGTGATGGTCTTACTTTGGCCCTGGGGCCCAGGCCTAAAGCTGTGTTAGGGGCCCCAACATTTCTGATGGCTGCCCTGCTGACAGTGGCCATGTTAACGAAGGTTAATAGCTAAGGTACTTGAATGCATTTTTTGGGTTTAACTCCTGAGTTTAGTGTCACTTTAAAAAATTGTAAAATAAATGTTTTAAAGAGGTCACTCTCCCTTTTTTTTTACGTACCAAGCAGCTGGATCGTACTCTGCCCAAACCCGGATGAACTCATCGAGGTGATGTGGACCCAGAATGGAGGAGTCTCGTGTTAAATACTCAAAATTATCCATGATGACAGCCACAAAGAGATTGAGCATCTACTCGGGATGAGAGAAGAGAAAAAAGGTCAGATGAAAATATCCTCAAAATACTGAATTTTTTTATTACTTTTTTTTTTTGGGGGGGGGGACCTCATCCTCTCATGGCCAATGTAAGCCTTCCCTCACACTAAAGCCAATGTATTGTTATGGCTAGTACTATACTCACATAAGTATTACCCTTTAACTAGGTACATAAAAACTTTTACTTTTCATATTTGCTACTTGCAACCAGCAGGAACTCACTGCAAGATTTTTCTACATCTGTTTTGCTAAGAATAGAAAATAGAAAGAGTCAGGGAAAAGGATGGCGATAGGAACTTCTTTATTGGTTTACACAGGCTGCCAACAAGAACGTAGGAAGCCAAACATGGTGTGCAAATGAAGGGCTCTTTTACATGTGTGTTGAGAATTTACAGCATGATCAACGCTCATTAACGCGCCTATAGCATTAACAAGACATTCGGCAGTCATTTGCAAGGCATTAGGGAGGAGTCAAAAATGCCCTGCCCCCCCAAAAAATGATAAAATTATAAAATAATGCTAAAAATAATTTTAATATGTCATCCTCCCCTCCCCTGCCCTGCCAGGCCTGTGCTCGGATCAAGAGTCTGAAGTGAATATTAGGGGGGACTGCATGTTGCACCTAAAGGGCCTGGTATTATTTTTGGGGGGAACCCCAGGCACTTGTTAAAAATGTTTTTTTACTGGGGGGTCCCTCCTAACTTTCCGACCAGACCTAAAAGGATCCCACACACTTTTTTGTTTTAACTATTTAACTTGGGGCCCCTCCTATTGCAAAACCACCTGTGCAACGCTTGTTAAATGCCTTGTTAGCGCTCTAGAAAGTGTTAAACAAGCGTTAAAAGGTGGTTCAATAGACTTAAAGGAGGCATTGTTCCAGTAGCAATGCCTCCAGGACTCGACATGCACTCTATTTTTTGACGCAATGCTGACGCCCATGTGTGTACTGTACTGGGCGGTTGCGATTGTTTTATCTTCAGCACTAGGCCCGTGATGGTCTTACTTTGGCCCTGGGGCCCAGGCCTAAAGCTGTGTTAGGGGCCCCAACATTTCTGATGGCTGCCCTGCTGACAGTGGCCATGTTAACGAAGGTTAATAGCTAAGGTACTTGAATGCATTTTTTGGGTTTAACTCCTGAGTTTAGTGTCACTTTAAAAAATTGTAAAATAAATGTTTTAAAGAGGTCACTCTCCCTTTTTTTTTACGTACCAAGCAGCTGGATCGTACTCTGCCCAAACCCGGATGAACTCATCGAGGTGATGTGGACCCAGAATGGAGGAGTCTCGTGTTAAATACTCAAAATTATCCATGATGACAGCCACAAAGAGATTGAGCATCTACTCGGGATGAGAGAAGAGAAAAAAGGTCAGATGAAAATATCCTCAAAATACTGAATTTTTTTATTACTTTTTTTTTTTGGGGGGGGGGACCTCATCCTCTCATGGCCAATGTAAGCCTTCCCTCACACTAAAGCCAATGTATTGTTATGGCTAGTACTATACTCACATAAGTATTACCCTTTAACTAGGTACATAAAAACTTTTACTTTTCATATTTGCTACTTGCAACCAGCAGGAACTCACTGCAAGATTTTTCTACATCTGTTTTGCTAAGAATAGAAAATAGAAAGAGTCAGGGAAAAGGATGGCGATAGGAACTTCTTTATTGGTTTACACAGGCTGCCAACAAGAACGTAGGAAGCCAAACATGGTGTGCAAATGAAGGGCTCTTTTACATGTGTGTTGAGAATTTACAGCATGATCAACGCTCATTAACGCGCCTATAGCATTAACAAGACATTCGGCAGTCATTTGCAAGGCATTAGGGAGGAGTCAAAAATGCCCTGCCCCCCCAAAAAATGATAAAATTATAAAATAATGCTAAAAATAATTTTAATATGTCATCCTCCCCTCCCCTGCCCTGCCAGGCCTGTGCTCGGATCAAGAGTCTGAAGTGAATATTAGGGGGGACTGCATGTTGCACCTAAAGGGCCTGGTATTATTTTTGGGGGGAACCCCAGGCACTTGTTAAAAATGTTTTTTTACTGGGGGGTCCCTCCTAACTTTCCGACCAGACCTAAAAGGATCCCACACACTTTTTTGTTTTAACTATTTAACTTGGGGCCCCTCCTATTGCAAAACCACCTGTGCAACGCTTGTTAAATGCCTTGTTAGCGCTCTAGAAAGTGTTAAACAAGCGTTAAAAGGTGGTTCAATAGACTTAAAGGAGGCATTGTTCCAGTAGCAATGCCTCCAGGACTCGACATGCACTCTATTTTTTGACGCAATGCTGACGCCCATGTGTGTACTGTACTGGGCGGTTGCGATTGTTTTATCACACATGGGCGTTAATAGGTGGCAGAAAGGCGTTAAAAACGTGTCTCAAACACCTGGTTTTGACACACATGTGAAAGAGCCCTAAGGCTACTGGAGACACCTTGTAATAAATGTTTATTCAAATAACATACAATAATTTGAAACAACAATATAGACATGAATTTATACACTTTCCAAGCAAGATTGAAAAGTGTAACCCCCATCCAAAACCCCACTTACCAGGAAAGAGCAGAGGAAGATGAAGGAGACAAAGTAGAAATATGCAAAGTCACTTCCGCATTCAGCTGTGTGGTTACCGGAGCGCGAGTCACAAGGTCTGTTACTGAGACAGGACAGCATGATCTCATGCCAGCCCTCGCCAGTGGCACTCCTACAGAGAGGGTCAGAACAAGTCCATGTTGACATACAAAAGGTTATCTAAAAGGGAGCAAAAGCTTGTAGAGAGGGAGATATTGCACTGGGGGCACAAATATCAGATAACACAGTAAATGGAAACATATATTGTAGAACAAAGAACACTAAATGAACAAAATATTCTTATTCAAGTGAAAAGATAAGAGTGTGAAAATTAAGAGTAATCATATTTGTTTGATGACAACTGATGGAGGGATTTTTCCTCACTTTAAAGAGATTTGGTCTCACTTCCTGCCTTGACCAAGTAAAGGGAAACAGCAGAGGGAGGAGGGCAATAAAAACCTGTCAGAGGTGTTAACCCTAATTTTAACCCTTGTCAGAGGCTCTAAACCCAAATATAAACCTTACCTAAACAGGAGCATCAATGCTTGAAAGAAGGTGCGGAAGTTATTGTGGCGGTTGATGGCGCTATCATCAGACAAAGCAATGTTCCCAAACACCTGAATATAAATAGAGACCTCTAACAATAACAAGAAATATACACAACATTATTACCACTTTCACATAAAGAGACAGTTCTGAAAGGAGAATAACTAGTTGATATGCATGTGGAGATATGCACTGAATAATCCCAAGGTCCTTCCTTAGGATGACCCCACCTTCAGAATGAAGTATGGCCCGTGTGAGAAGGCTCGACTCTCACATACCTGCACAACTGCATTGGGAAACAATATTCACCAGGGACAAACAGTCTCTACAATCTTTAAGCAGATCAAAAAACATTTCCACCAATTTAACAGTGTGGTGCCTAACAATCATCTGGATTGTCCTACAACCCATAAAAGGACAATGACCATACAACAGGCACTGAATTTCCATGGGGTAAGGCCCCCCAGACTTTCTAAAAGAAGGACCAGTTCAGGGTCCTTCAAACCTTGGGGGGGGGCAGACTGTGGGATAAGAAAATGCCCATGGTCTGTGGGAGTAAACACAGCTTAAGGCTTGGAGGTCATTGGGAGCAGAAAAATGCCCCTGGGGTTGTGAGCAGTGGGAGTAAAAAATAGCCCAGCACCAGTGGTTAGTGAGAGGAGGAATAATAACTTGTTGTTTGTGTCAGTGGAAGGAATAGTGCCCCATCATTGGTATCAGTGGGAAGAATAGTGTCCTATGGTTGGTGCCAGTAGAAGAGATAATCCCCCACCCTTGGTGTAAGTGAGAAGAATTGGTGTCAGAGGGAGGAATAGTGCCCCATTGGTGTCAATGGGAAGAATAATGTCCCATTGTTGATGTCAGTGGGATAAAAAGTGTGCCATCATTGGTGTCAGTGGAAGGAATAGTGTCCCCCTGTTGGTATCAGCAGGAGAAACAAGTGCTCCCAAGTGCTGGTTAAAGGCACGCAATGGCTCACAATTTTGGGAACCACTGGGGTAGGAGATGAAAATCCTTGCCTACCTTTAACAAGAAGCTGAGAGTTGACAGCTGAAGGTATTTTATTTTTTTTACTTGAAAACACTGATTAGCTCTTGAGTGCTTACCTGCATACCAATAATGGCGTAGATGAAAAACAGCATTGCAATAAGGAGGCAGACATACGGCAAGGCCTGCGGACAAAAGGAATACCTCTCATGGTTACTCAAAATATGTTTTCTTAATTTAATAAAAGAAAGTTACTTTTTATACCACTGTTAAAATTCCTGACCTTGAATGACTGCACAAAAGTCCACAGAAGGATGCGGATGGTGTAACCTTGACGTAGCAACTTAATCAGTCGGGCAGCTCGAAATAATCTTAGGAAACTCAGATTGATGAAATTTTCCTATGTCGGGTAAAAAACATTAAATTGATTCAACAGAAAGCAAGGTCAACATTTCGGGATACAATTCCACATTGAGTCCCATCAGCAAAGAAAAAGCCAAGCCCAAATCACTCCATTCCAAAGTCAAGCACAAAACTTGCAGCTTGCTTAGTGTCCACATACCAGAAGGTAGAACCAGGACTCAGACACATGCAAATATTCTTTCTGCTTCTCCTACTCTTAAGGTGACCAAACACAGAAAGTGCTCATCAGTTGTTAGCAATCAGACCAACAATCGAAAAATGACACATTATTTGTATAGGGCATGCTATGGACATACTCTGCGCCCATAGAGCAATCAGTTTTCATAGGAACGGTTATTAACAAAAAAAATTAAAAGATAACCAAAGCCAGCCAATTTACAATGTGTATGAATTGGGTTTCAGATCTCAAATATGGTAGGTGCTGAGTCAAGTTATGGGTTTAAGTTGTACAATTTTGGTCTTCCATAAAGGTATTACCAGGACCTTATGAAAAAGGGGGCAAGTTTAATCAATATAGAGACTCTTGACAACAATGGAATGTATTTGGGGTTTTAAATTAGTCATATATGGGTACTGATGGTAATTCATAAGAGTCTCAACTGTCAGAAAAGATCCCCCACTGCAATAGCAAGCATTTTTGGGGAATAAGCATTGCAAAACTTCATAAAAATTTGGACAATGCACACGCTCACAACAATCTAATTTTGGTTTGCTATAGGCAGATTACATGAACTTCGATTGGTGGCCGTGGCTTAGTGTCTTTTGCTCTTCATCTTGGTGAATAAGCCTCTTGTGCTTTTGGTTGTTGTAAGAGAAGTAGAATAGCAATGAACAGCTGCTCCAAATTCTAGAAATGCTAAGAAAAATTGCATAAAAACATTCGACCCAACCAGGTGACTTCTGATAAAAGTTTTTTTTTTTAGAGTTCTTCACCAACCATTCACATGCACTATAACATAATATATTATTGCATATGGCCGGCTTTAGACTCAACATATTTCATGTTCCAGAGGTTCTTATTCCTGAAGCTTGTAAACAAGAGCTCTCATTCTCTGGGGTCCTTTAGACCCCCTTTTCCCAGACCATGGCATGCTACTCGCACATAACCCCTGGTGCCATCTCGCACATTCTTTGTAGCTGAGTATTAGAAGCACAAGCATAGCAAGCCCACAGGCTGCAATCTGAAGGGAAAAGCAAAGCAAGGGTGATCACAAGAGATGCATGAAAAAAGGAAACTGAGAAGAGAATGGGATGGAAATAGTAACTATGACAAATATGAGGAGGAGACAGCAAAACAAACCATCATGAACTAAATTTGATGCTTTAAAGAGGTCCTGCAACTTACACATTATGTAGACCTGCATTTTGTCAGAAAAAGCCAATAGAGTCTCTGAAGACCTAAGCTTTTGAATTTTTGCAATACCAACAAAACTGGAGGCCTGTGCTGTGTGTAGGTTAGAGCTCCACTTTAAAATGAACACAGTTAATGACACCTTTGATATTATCCAACACATCTGTGAAATAGTTCAAGTGGGAAATTTTAAAAGCATAACTTTCATTCAGGGAATGAGGGCTTCATTACAATGGGCTAATGATCTCATACTAACACGTTTGCATCCACCTGTGGTGACTTCAGCCATGTCAACTATAAAGGTCTGAAGTAGAGGTGCTGTTGCTAAAGAAGTGTGGGAGTTCCTGGGATGTACCAATATGTTGGTCACGAAGGGCTACTCAGATTGGTGACGTCAAGCAGATGCCATAGTTTTCAGGACCACAAATTGACCTGAAGATTTAGGATATGCTCAGAAAGTTACTAAGCAGATACATTGTGCCAGAAATGTAGGTAAAAGCCACAGGCCCATCACATATTATACATAAGTCTGGAATAGTCACTAAATCTTCTTTAATAAACAAGTCTATTGGTCTAATGTACCCTCATTGTGTTTAAAAAATGTATACTAATCCGTTTTAAGTATCTAGCAAGGGCATTCTTCAGGGGTGACATCTTTGTCAATAAAACCAAATTTTTGTAACTCCAAAGCTGAGTCACATGATCTCCCACAGTAAACCCGCTTGCATTGCTCCATGCAGTGGCTGAGATGGCATGCAGAAGAACAGGTGTCACTGCTGTCTAGACAAATCTAAAACTATCAATGTGAATTAATTAAACTTTTAGTCTTGAAAGGCCCTTTCTTACCATTAAATGCTTTCTCTGGTCTCATTCACATTAGATGGTGTCACGCATGTTGCATCATTTTCCACAGCGAGCAAAATGTGCTGCCATAAGAAAATCTCTTGCTTTGGCATTGAGGTGGACTGTAGAAAAATCTTACATGATGCATTTTTCTTCCACTAACATGCATTTTTAACTCGTGTATTAAATAGGGTCTTTGAAAATACACAAAAAATGCACTTGCAGAAACAAGCAAAAATGCATACATTTGCCAAGAGTCCAGTATGATTAAATCCTTATTGATTTTCCTGTTTGTTGCTTTACAAATATAAGTGGGGAATGTCAACAAGCAGTGAATCCTGTTCCCCTTTTGCTCGAGAAGAGAAGGCATTCAGGCTGAGGAAGGTCTGAGAAGATGTGAACTGAGCAATGCCAAAAAAACAACAAACATCTTTAATGCATCAATCTTTCAAGCAGCAAAAACACATGGGTGAAGGTAGCCAGTTTTAAGTAAAGGCCTTGGGCAGTGGCTCTGTACTTCATTATGGGGCTTGTTTTACTTAATGAATGGCAAAACTTTGCAACATGGCAGTACAGCACCCCTGTTTTTTAGTGAATTGGTTGTACGTTATAGTTATTCAGGCAGCAACACGCTGACAGACACTTCATGATTTACCTATTTTATATGCTGTATTTTATGTTTCTTGGGGGTAAATAAGTAATGTCTACCCTTAAACAGTTGGCCTTGGGTGCTTTGGTTCGGTGGTCCTAATTAGGGTTTAGTTCATTTTACAAAATATACTGCAGCTAATTATCCTAATTTTAAAAAAACCTATGCCAGTTAACTTAAGTCATCACATTTTTATGGCAGTGTCTTCATGTCCCCCTCCCATCAACTTGTCTTATCCAAAACACCTTCTAGTAAAAAAAAAAAAAAATTCCTTTTCATTGGGCAAATGTCAATATCACCATAACTAAATTCTTAAACTAGTTAATGTTAAGCTGCAAGGAATAGTATGTGTTCATTTTTGTACATGTAAATTCTTGTAAGTAAACCAACTCAAGCGTGTGAACTTTTTTTCCTTGTTAGTTTTTGGTCTTTTGCTGCTGAAAGATGAGGAATTTTTTAATTATCCATGGTGTGTTGTCTTTGTAAACAAAAAGAAGTATTGAAAAAATCCCCCTGGAATTGCTCAATTAAACCACCTTCTTGGAGCTACAGAGCAAAAACTCATCCATAAGCAAGCAGAGACATCAGAGGAAGGGCAGGATGCAAAACATAACAAAAAAAAAAATTAAGATTGGTAAAAACGGAACCAACCGTGTTCTAGGTATGAGGTTGTCATGGGTGATTTTGGTACACGAGAGTTGAAGGTAATACAACATACAGAGACAGTGGGTATTTTTGGGGGGAAGGTTGAGATTATCCCGCATTGTATGTTGATTGAATAGCATGATTCGGCAGGCCGTGAAATAAATAAAAAAAAGAAAAAATATAAAATAAAGAACACGAACACCAAGACCATGTACGCACACAAAAGAAGAGATGAATTAAATAAAACAGATCATAAGACAAATAAGTTTGATGATTGCAAGTAAAAATATAGCTTTTCAACCATATTTTCAAATCGGGTTCATGGCTCGAGAAATACAAAATACTAAAAATACAAAAATACATATTGCTGTGGAACAGTAAACAGAATAAAATCCTTCCCACAGACGGCGGTTGAGTGATTGATTGACCTCTAGGTTTCCTATACGTTATTTCTCTGGGACTAATGAGGTCTCCATATTCCCAGCTGGAGTACCCAGCTCCACCTATCTGCTGCACCAATTAAGATGGGGTCTCATCTTCCTTGGAGAACCTTTTCAATTCATGCTACATTTTTAGAGAATACAGCGGGAGTAATGAATAATGTGTTTGATGCAGGGAAGAACTAGACCCAGGGACAAAAAATATAAGAAGTCCCTTGGTAATTCAGCTCGCCAACTGGCACCATAACAGAAGCATCTGTTCTATGTAGACTGACCTTTCAAAGCATCTTTCCAACTTTCTGAAAAATGTGATGTTGTAATAATAGCCATATAGGCATTTATTTTTCACTGGACCAACCAATTGACCCCGACCATTTAATCAATCAAATTTTGAAAGTGATTACTTGATTCAACATGAGCACGGAACTGTTAAAAACCAAATTCTGTGCCAAGAGCGATTGTTCGCCTTGACTGGAAATTTCAATTAATTTATCAAGGGATTATTCCCCAAAACAGCAGGATTTTTCCGAACAATCTAATCATTCTCATGTTCAATTCAATGCTGAAAAATGATTGATTTTTTTGAGGGTTCCATCCATACATCAAATGATAGAATGCATGCTTGTGTGGCCAGCATTAGGCAGGGCAGTGAAAGCATCAGCGCTGCAAATACTATTTATTACCTGCTTGTTCTCTTACCCCTTTGAAAGCTTTTGAAGTATCCCTTTGATCCTTAGAAAAATTTTCAAATTTTATACTGAGTCATGCTCACACAGACACATTGTTTTTTCATGGCTCTTGTAACTTACAGAGTAATTATTATTTTCGGTGATCTCTGAACCATTTACCACATCTGAGCCCTGAAGAAGGGGGAGATCCTTTTGGGCCCCCAAACACGTTGGCTGTATTGTGTTATCCTGCTGTGTACTAGTACTAATAATAAAGAAATATGGACCTTGAACATTTTGTTTGGAGCTCTCACTGGACATTGTACAACAATCCCTTTGTCACTGTACGAGATATCTCTTAACCTTTGCAACTGAAACAGAGGATCCTGAACAAGCAAAAGGGAACTTGAAAAATACTTTTCACAAAGTTATTTATTTTTTGCTGCCCAGACTTTTAATATCACATTTAACAGTGGACTACTCGGTGTTGTGTGTAACAGAACAGGGCTCAGAGCTTTGACAGATATTATATCTTGTCCCAGCATCCATACGAGAAAACCGTGAGTTTGGATTTTGATCTAAGCTGCTATTGCACCAGCCTAAATATTCTATGTAGGTCTTTGACCTATGTGACAGCCACCCACAGTCTGGAGAGGGAAAGTATGAAACAGCACACTCAAAATACTTTCATGAAAACCTAGACATCATGGGAAGTCTCTGTTCCACTGCAATAGCTGCCTGTTTTTTAGCAGACCCAGTGAGGACAGGGTTGTTAGCATCTCACCCCCTATCAGAAATGGTTCCATTTTTTTTTTTCCAGAGAAGCTGTTCGTGATAACGAGTCCCATTTATAATAAGGAAATGTTTTCCATTTATTACGCCAAAAATTTTCTGAAACCCAAACCCTCCCCACTGATGTGTCAGCAAATCCTCTTACAAACGAGATTAACGTTCTTTCATCCCAATACGGTAATTAAACTTTTTCTCTGCGACCCATTAAGCATCCGTTATCTTTGTAATTAGCATACTAAGGCTTTGTGGGGAAGAATAAGTAATGGAAGAGGTTTTAGCATGTGTCCTATGGAAAGTCACATCGCTCTGTAATACAGAATGTAATGTGCTTGCACGCGATATTGTCTGCTGTCACCAATTTATAAATTACCAGCTGCAGAGGAACCACACGTCCAAGTTTTACCTTTCTTTATGGTAAGCTGGGAGTTGGTGGACCTCCACAGCTAGAGGCCCTCAATTGTGCAACATACAATAGGTCTAAATGAAAGGACCAGCAATACCTAAATTGGAAGTTAGTTTAGATAAAAGATTAATTAATACCCTTTTTTTCAGATGTAGGTGTAAAAAGTCAGGTATTTTATAAGAACGATTTCATGTTTATGCAGCAGATGTTCTATGGCTGATCTCTCTTGGATGGAAGATTATTCAAGCCTTCTCTGATTGCTATTGATATCCCAAGATAAGTTAGTATTGAAGCCATCTACCCACTAGTTCTATGGAACATACAGCTAGTCAAATTGTGCCAGCATAATTAAAAGAGAACTATGAGGTGAGTGAAAATCACTCAACCTCATAGTTCGAGCCGACGTGTGACAATGAGACTGTCACACGTCGGCTCAATAGATCGGGAAGTGAGCGAACACATACCGTCGCTTGCTCACTTCTCGATCATGTCCCTGCAGAGAGCCGTGATTGTCAGTCACGGCTCCCTGCAGAAATTCCCCCACTCCGATCCTCCAGCGCTGACTGTAGGAACGGATGGGGAGGGGGCGGGTACAGCTGGCTCTGCCTATAAATAGGCAGAGCCAGCTGTCACTCACGCAACTGGGTGACAGTAATGTCGGGATCTCTCCATGCTGTGGCGGTCTCAGTATACCGAGAGCTGTAGCTTGCGATATACTGAGCTTTGGGTATATGTCCCAAAGGACATATACGCTAGTATATGTCCTCCCGTGACCCTTAAGAGAACTATGGGGAAAAACACTTATCCCATAGTTCTCTTTTAACTGATTTTGGCTGGAGTCAGAAGATTTGGCCAAGAAAAAGATCTTTATTCGAATGATATTTTCAAGACCATGCACAATTATTTTGCTCCAACAAGCTGTATAATTTTTTTTATGTGTAGAAACGATTAGCTTGGTATAAATAATGTTCATGTGTGCTAAAATTTAAAACACAACTGGTTTCTATGCATAGATTGTAACTATACTGTAGATGTAAATGAAAGCAGCCATATTTGTTACACAATCCGGCTCTGCTTCCTGTTTTGCAGTGCTACACAATGGGTGTGCTTTACTGCTCCTTCCCCACAATGCAAGTTTATGGTTGACTGACCTACTGAAATCAATGCATTTCCTGTGTGGCTGACATCTTATCTCAACAGTTATTAAAAGAGACTGAGCTATTGTACTAAGACACTGAGAGCACTGTCAAGGGGTTAATCTATACATATTTATAGTTAGTACAATAATATGGAAAAGTAACTATTTCACTTCTTAAGGTCAAATGATAAATTACACTGCAGTATTAATTCAAATGTGCTCAACATGGTACTTGCATACAAACATTCTATGGGCAGGGCCTTTAGCTATATGTTCGACTTTGTGCAACGCTGGGAAATGGTCATAAATAAAAAATAATATTAATAATAGAGAGTAGTTGTCTTTTAAATGTACTGGTCCTTTAACATTCAGATAATGCAGAGGTCTTGATGGAATTTTCCTGGGACACAAAAGCGTTTTCATGGAGATGAGTGATGCTGCCCTTGTTATTTGCATGCCGATTAACTATGCAAATTACAAGGCAATTAGTAACCAGGAAGGGGGGAAGAATAGCAGTGTTAAGGCTTCATCCTCACTGACCAATAATACAACAAGATAACCCGCCTACAATAATCAGCCTGCTGCACATTTCTCAAATCCTTTAACGAGGGATGTACAAATGAGTGACAATCACCAAAAGGTTGCATAAAATCAACAGCACATTGATTTTTTTCATTTCATCTTGTAAACACTAGCCTGCAGAGCATTACATCCAGCTGGTATTTACTGAGCCTCCCAGAGGTCAGCCTAGTAGTCAAACTGAGGTTAGTATTAGCTTGCTAAAGCCTGGTAGAAGCTTGGTAAGGCAGTACATCCAGAAGATCTGTATTTAATGCCCCAAAACCGCCACTGGCTGATGTTTAACGGAACATTAGGACGGCTGCTCAGTGCTTTTTTAGTCATACTAAATTGGATGCTTTTCAGACTAGTGTTTGACTATTAAGAAAAACAATGCCCATGTGTTTTCACCTGAAAGCCATAAGACACTTTTTTCCACATACTCCAGCCTCTTGTTCCAACTCTTACAGAGTGTATGATGGTGCCACAAGTACAGTAAACTCCTCGTTATCCGGCATCCACGGGGATTGATAGATCCCGGATAAATGTAGTTTCTGGTTGCTTGAGAGTTACTATTAAAAATAGGTCTAACTAATCTCATACCCCATACTATACAATAACATAATATAAACTTTGCATTGACTTCATATTAATATTGAAATGCAGTAATCAAAAGACAAATAGACACACAATCATTTTCAGGATAACACATGCTGCAGATCAGCAAAACAGTGAGTACACAGGGGATTTCTTTTTTCTGGTTCGATGATTTGTAACGTGTGCACAATGCAGGCTAGCTGATAAGTGTGCTGGAAAAATGTTGTGTTTGTACTGTGTAAGTTCTTCCATGTGCACCTTACTTTAAAAGCTAGTTATGAATTGATGAGTGCATTTGCTATGTGCTTCACTTATTGGATTTGATGTGGGGGCACACTGGGAGGTTCAGCTGCCATTGGGATCTGCTGGGCTTCAGGTGTGTCCCTGTGCCTTTAAGAAGGAATGGGCTGCCTCCAGGCAAACCTGCACCCAATTTGTCCTTTGCTATATATGCTCTTAAGGTGCCTATACACCTTACAACCATCGCAAGACTTTTGTCTTGCGATGATTGCAAGGTAATTAAAAAAACGTACGATCTGCCCATCTTGGACAGGCAGATCGTACTTGCGATCATCGCAAGCCCGCCCCCCAGGGGGGCGGGCTTCCGATGACTGCAATGCTGAACGGGCAGTGTGCGCTTGCGCACATGGGCTTGTTCGGCATTTGTCTTACGAGCATGCCACAAACCCGCCGACAATCGTACGATTCTAGGCGGGTTTTCGCACATGCATGTAAGACAAAAGTCGTGCGACCTTACAGTAGCAGAGGTCGCACGCCTTCCATACACCTTGCGATTATCGTATGATCGCGGGATTTCCCGCGATTATCGTACAATAATCCCAAGGTGTATGGGCACCTTTAGATGGAGGCTCTCATAGATTAGAGTAAGGACCACACTACACATATGAGCCTTGATGAGGCCTGTGTGGCGTCCACATATTTTACAAATATTGTTTTTAATGCAAGCTCTTCCAAGTGCCCCTTACTTTAAAAGTGTGGTAAGTGTGCTGGAAACCTTTTGTGTTTGTACTGTGTAAAGTCCTTCCATGCCCACCTTACTTTGAAAGCTAGTTATAAATTGATCAGTGCGGTTGCCGTTTGCTCCACATGTGTGCAGCAATAAGGACACTTGTAGTGAAAATTATAGACAGCTCATACAGTCAGATGTGATTAATTTTTATATACTAGAACACCACAACAACATTAAACATTTCCCCTAAAGCTTAGTATATTTAATAACATGTGTCAATCAGCAGTAAAGCACAGTAACCTTTGGCAACCATATTTCAGCCAGGATGAAGGAAGACAGCAGTTGACTGGTTGCTATGGTTTACCGTGAAGTTTTTAAGGCTTCCACAGCAGAGCTCTGTCAAGATAAAATGACCATCGGCCAAGCTGAAATATATTGGTTGTAAGCCTGTAGGTTCACTGTAATACAGAGAACTGATTTAGCCAACAAAAGAATGCTGCATATATTTCCCATGAGTTAATGTGTTGCAGTTCTATAGACATTTTGCCGTTTCCACAACTCATTGGTGAAGCACATAATATCTGCATACTTACCGCTATCTCCGTTACTAATATATCAGTTATACTTCCCAAGACCGTAACAAAGTCAAACACATTCCAAGCATCCCGCAAATAGTTCTGCACAAGAGATGGAAGATGTTTTTACAGAGGGAAAAACATATTGCACATAACTGCATTGCTCTGTTTTAAAAAAAAAAAAACTTAATTAAGAAAATGTTTTTGGAAAATACAGCTAACAGATTCCAAATCAAAGATGGCCACATTCTGTTTTTGAATCAAGGGGCTTCTACTCATGCCCTAAATAAATGCAATCCTTGCCCTTCCTTGGTGACCAGTGGTCATTATGGGTAAATGTGTAAGTGTGGGAAGATGCCTTTATTTGGACTTGGAGTAGCAGACATAACCAAGAAAAATCTATTTCAGCAGTTATTTGGTAAGGTGGAATCCATTGCTTACTCCACCCAGGTATATTTTTTATTTGCTCTGAGAATTCTGTAATGGCTGGAGTGATATAAAAGTTGCCCAGTGGGTCTTCCGTATATATTTTGCAAGCACCATAGCATATCATTTTGCAGACTATTATCTGCGTACTGTTCTGTATGTATTGAGACAAGACATTCTAGTGAGCTTGCTGACTGGGAGAGGCATTGAGCTGATTACAGAAGAAGGCGATTCCAAGAGTGTGTAACTCCAGCTGAAATTTAGTTTCCTTCGTTTTGGGTAGGCAAGGGAAGGGCTGGTTAGAACCCCTACCAGGTTTTTTTTCTTCTTTCGCAATTTCTATTCAGTGACAACACAGAAAAGTTTGGTGGGTAGGGTGGGAGAGGGGGGTACATTTTTCAGAACCCCTTACTACAATGTAACTTTGGTTAACACATATTTGAAACCTTCTGCAAGAATTAAAATAGAGGAAAATATCAGATGTACTTTTCATACCAGAACACCAAAGGCGATAATTTTCAGGATACATTCCAACGAGAACATGGATGTGAAGATAATATTAAGGCCTCGCAACATTTCTTCATAGGTACTTGATGCGCCATAAAACTGAAAAAGCAAGAGTGAGTCAAAAAAGGTAATATGAAGGCACTTTTCAGGAGAAGAAAATCAAATTGCTTATATATAGAGGTTTATACTGAAATAAACTATAGAAAAATACAAAGTAAAAATAAAGCACCTATGCCACTACTACACATTCTCCTTTTCTCCCCCGACTGGCTAGCTACTGTGCTAGCCATATTTAAGGGCAGGTTCACACCATTTGCCGAACCAGCTCTGGTCCGGAAAATGGTGTGAAGTTCCAGTGCATTTCAAACAAGACAAAATGAGACATGCAGTATTTTTCTGGTCTGGTCTGGAATGGACTGCACTGGTGTGAACAGAGGCCAGAAATAGCATAGGGATACATTAGGATTCATTTTGGGTCTGGAAACAATCTGGTCTGGTCTGGAGATGATCTGGATGTGGTGTGAATGGGCCCTCAATGATAGATATCCAGAAGTACAGAACTGTAACACCCTCCTCCCCACACACGACTGACTGCTTTCTTGTCAATTCCCATCATTTAGACCTCAGATTTTTCCTTCCCATTCTTTCCCTGTGTTTTTGTTATACTATATCTTTGCCCGTAGCAGTGCTAACAAGAACTGAACAAATTATTTTACATGTATGGAGAGCTATGATTTTGAACACACAGGACACACTATTAAAATCATAGAAATGTAGTTTCCCTGTTTAAAAAGGCTTCTTATAATACTCGTGTACTTCCAGGCTTACACAGCCATGAGGTGATATTCAGAACAGTTTCAAGGACTTATCAGAACCAAATTTATGACAGATTATGTTTTGATGTTGAGGAAATATGTAGTCCTAAGCAGCATTGATTTCCAGTTACAATACAGGGATTGTATGTATAATTCTGTTAAAGTTGGATTGTATTTTACATATGTGTATGAGATAGGTGTCACGTCTGTTATATGTATATCATTATAGCGCACCTTACCTCAGCTAAACATTACCTTCATCATCAACACAATGGTGTTGAGCGCAATCATCACCATGATGAAATATTCAAATGGAGGAGACACCACAAATCGCCACATCTTATACTGGAATGACTGACGGTTTTGAGGCATGTATCGTGTTAGGGGCTTGGCGCTGATGACAAAATCTATGCAGGCCCTCTGCGAAGAGAATAACAGGAGAATCATGGAACTACTACACATGCGAATTGTTTCCACAAACCATTTCCTACGTTGGTCAAACTGAAACAAAACACTTTATTGGCCTTTGTTTCCCCAAGCATAACAGGACTCAACAGCAAACAGTGAGACAACAAGTAAACCTCCAAACACCAGTGCAGCATCCAAAACAATTACTTTCAACAGCTTGGAAGCCCCTGCCTTAGATAAGGGTGATCTATAGGTATTCTGGTCTAGTTCATTGTCTATTCCTTGTCTCTCCAATGTTTTTTGCCAATGGGATGGAGGAAAGACAAGGATGACAATGGACACATGTACAAACTTCTCATCTTGGTCCATTCTAAAGGTGATAGATGCAATAGTATGCAGGCAAGCAGTTTATTATACGACTGGCTCCATCTCATTCCCCCTACCTCATTCTTCTCAAGACTGCACTCCGACATGACCTTGTCCCCCTGCTCCTGGAATGTGATGATAATTAGAGCCACAAAGATGTTGACAAAGAAGAAAGGAAAGACCACAAAATAGACCACATAGAAGATGGACATTTCCATGCGAAAGCCAGGAGTGGGGCCCTGGTCCTCGTAGGTGGCATCCACTGAATGTTTGAGGACACTGTAAAGGAAAAGTAGCCCTTGATGTTACAATGATTGTGCAGGTATGATGCAAGTATAGTACAACAAGCTTTCTATAGAGGCTTTGTATTAATAGGAAGGTTCAGGTCATAGTTACCTTTTGAAAAGCGATATCAGACTTTTTGAGACTAACAAAAAATAGTGTCATGTCATGTGAGATACTCAAAATGGAAGAAAGATACCTATAATTCCAAAAGCAGTCGATCTGACTTCACCCTTTGCTAGGGTGTAAGCAAGTTTTGTTTTTTGCACTTTTTTTTTCTGTTAGGTACATTTGTGTTGTATTCTACACTGTTAGAAGCATGGAAATCAATTTTTTTTTTAGGTATATATGGCTCTGAAATTAATGCAGTTTGCAGTTGCAGTTTACAAGAGACTTGGCTTTCATGACTTCGGTGTTAAGAACCAATGCCTACCAACCCCTCTCTCTAACAAGAGCACCACAATGGTCAATAAGTGCACTCTCTTTATGAGTTTAAAACAGATGGCAGGTTCACTTCAAATAACAATATTAGGTGATATGTTTATAGGGCTTTTACAATATTAAATAGACATTCGATTGACAAAGGCATCTTTCTGATATCTGTCGCTACCTCTATCTAAACGCTATTGTAGGAGAAAAGTAGGGAGTTTTTCGTTGTTGGATATTCTTTTCATGACAGTCACAGTAGAAAAAGTAGAAAGTACTTACTTGGGCCACCCTTCCCCAGTGGAAACTGTAAAGAGAGTCAGGAGAGCCCAGAGGACATTGTCATAGTGGAATTCATATTTCTTCCATTCCCTTGGCTGTGCCCTCACGTCATCATTTTCATAATTAAGATATTCCCCCCTAGACAGAGCAGAAAGGTCATCAGTAGAGAGTTTTATGATCTTGAGGTTGTAGTCTTCTGCTTTCCAAAACTTACCGGCAATCTTTCTCCAGGTCTTTTGACTCATCTGTACAGTAGAAGAACTTGCCCTTGAAGAGCTGAACGGCAATGACGGCAAAGATGAACATGAAGAGCATGTAAACGATGAGGATATTGAGTACATTCTTGAGTGAGTTAACTACACAGTCGAACACCGCCTAGGAAAAAGGAGAAGAAAGAACATAGAGCCTTGCCAACAACTCAACCAGCTGACATTTTAAAGCAGAACTAGCATAATGCCTACACTAAAAGATATCTGTAAATATTTTTTTTCTTTCAGGTTAAATTGTCAGTTCACCTAAAAGTGGTATTTTATTTATTGGTGGAGCCTGGGGGGCCTGAGTGAGCCCCTGGATTTTTTTGGGGGGCTTGTGTACTTCAATAGCGCAACCTCATTGCCATAATTACTGACTCTTTCCTTGTCCACTTGAGAGTTTTGGAAGTTCTTATCCACCATTGTTCCAGCTTCTCCTTTTACATTCTCTATGATATAAAATAAATAAATATCTAGCAGGGATGGCAGGAATACCTAATAATGGCCTTAGCAGGTGTGCAGACCTGAGAGCTGGTGGATTAAGTCTTCAGCAGCCACTAAATACTGAAATATCACATTTTGGTAGACTGACCCTTCATATACTGTAGTTACAAAGCAGAGCTGCTATTACCACCTTTTGTTCAAATGTTGATTGCATTTTCGATCATAAGTGTATTATATTGTGGTTATTTCTGAGTAACTTCAGTCTAGAGAAAGGCTATTTCAATATCCTCTTTAACAGGCTATTTAGTCTTTGAAAACTTTACACAGATAGGCATCAGGATGCTGTTGTCATCATATGACCAGAGGACTAGAAATAGTGCAAGATTATTTTCTTGGTGATGTAGAGGTAAATCAGAGCCTGCAGTGGGTGCAGCCAGGCGAAATAGTCAGTAGAGATATATTTCTGCTGGGTTTTTAGTTGTTTGCATACAGAGAGGCTTTAAAAGCTCCCAATAAGTCATAAAACAAGGTGGTAAATGAAGACATGGAAGACAGATGAGAAAACAAACCTTGAGCTTGGGTAGCCGCTTAATGGTTTTCAGAGGCCGCAGAACCCTGAGAACTCGCAGAGATTTGATGGTGTTTAGATCTTTCCCTTTATTCCCTCTACAGAGGACACACAAAGAGATAGCGTCATTCAAATATTACAAGATGGCACTCAGCGTGAGCGTCTTTACCCCGATGATCAGATTCATGCTTTACCTCTCACAATGCTCTTCCCAGAATCTGGGTCACTCTTATCAGGGCTGCACTTTTATTTATTTTTAGACATCTTTTTTTATAACACAGAGAAATACCTTATAATATTACTCATGGATAAGGACAACTGACCTGATTTATCTTAAAGAAAACTTGGACTAAAATAAATATGGAGCCTGCCATAGCTGATGTTCAGAAAATGTTTATTGACTGGCTATCTTGCTGTTCACTTGACTTTCTCAGACACTGGCCCAAAGCAAACATGTGACACTTAAAGTCAGAGTACAGTCAGGAATCCTGAAATACTAGGCACTCAGGTGGGAAGCCCTTGGATTTGGGTGAATAGCATTTTCAGAAGGAGATGAGCAATGCCAACCTCCATTAACACCATAGTGGTCAGTTGTAAGCTTAATATGACTAGATCTAAAAATGTGGGTCCAAGCATATGATTAAAATGATTGATTAGATTTGGGATTGTCTTATTTTAATTAAAGTAAACTTTTTAAGGTTTTTGCAGTTTGTATCAGATTTCCCCGGGCTTGTGATCATAAAAATAAGGCAGCACCACGTTCTGGACAATATTTGACTGAATTTTCTCTGTATTTCCTGCAGTGGATACAATGCAACAGGGGGCTGTTTTGAGCCACTGAGAATAATTATCCAGCATGATTTGTGTTTATATTTATTTATTTACACAATTTCATCCCTTTTGGGCTCTTCCAATATACTGATTGTTCTTTAATTTTTGAACTTCTGCATTGTCAGTAATGAGGTATCACAAGCATTCTCTGAAAGAAGACAAGAGAACAGAACATGATGTCAGAATTGGGACAAACTTTGGACAGGGAAATCTCTGTGTTATGTCTGGATAGTATAAAAGGATATGCAGATACACCTGATAACAGAGAATTATCGCTGTAAGACATTAACCAGCACTCCAATAACATTACCATTCCTGAGGAAAGGGGAGGAGCCACAACATCCAGTGAGGCCTCCCAGATGCAAAGCATGCTTCATCCATCATGCACCTTGGTTAGTCATGCAGACCCGTTTGGGTTTCATACCTGTGCTGTGCCAGCTTTCAGCTACAGAGTACTAACCTGATGACGGATCACTTAACAGCCTTTCCATTGGTAAAGATCATACTTCACAGCCAACATGACTTTAAAGTGACACCAAACTCAAGAGTCAAATCTTAAAAATGCATTTCAGTACCCTAACTATTAACAATATTGTACCTTATTTGTTTTTCACTCAGCTGTAGATCCTCAAATCATCTGTAATTCCACGGTTACATTGTCCTTCCTTCTGCCGGGTGGCTACTTTTGCTCCCCATGGTCTCTGTGTGTGTTGTAAAGTCGTCATTGCACCAAGCTCACTCCTGTGATGGACTACAATCTTAATACAAATTAGTAAACTAAATGTCAGATTGTAGTCCATCACAGGAGTGAGCTTGGTGCAATGACGACTTTACAACACACACAGAGACCATGGGGAGCAAAAGTAGCCACCCGGCAGAAGGAAGGACAATGTAACCGTGGAATTACAGATGATTTGAGGATCTACAGCTGAGTGATGCACAAATAAGATACATTTTGTTAATAGTTAAGGTATTTAGTGTTTAGTGTCACTTTAAGTCAGCATCAAAATCACCAGTAAATATATAATATTTAGTTTTTTTATTTATTTTTTCTGACTGTGATCTCCAGTAGTAAGATTATAATTTACAAATTACCCTCAGTGGGTGCATTTCTAGTTGCACATGAGGGATCGTTTACTGGATGGACTTGCACTATATGTAATGGTTGCCATGTTATCTGGAATGGGTTTTCCTTATTTAAAAAACTAAAGCTTTTTAACCCCTTCGTGACGGGAGACGTACAGTGTACGTCTTGTCACTTTGTGCCTATATGACTGGCCACGTACACTGTACGTGACGAGTTATATCAGGCTTTGTAATGCCGGTATTTGCTGATTCTCAGCATTTAACAGTCATTCATTAATGTCTCAGTATTGAGGCATTAATTAATGAAATAATTAAGCTTTTTGTAAAAGCTTCTTCCTTTCATTAATGAAAGAATGAAGCCGTTACATGCAAATAGAGGACCGCAATTTGCGATCCCGTATTTGACAGCTCAAAATAGCAGAGAGGCAGCAGTGACTCACCTCTCTGCTATTTGTTTTGACAGTTCGAGAGCCCGATGTTTAGATACATTTCACTGAAAGAATACAATGTATCTCTTTTGAGTGAAATGTATCATTTCTGATCGTCTAGGCACGATCAAAGAGCTTTTAGTGAGATCTGAATCTGACTAAAGTCAGGATCAGTCTCTAAGGTTATTATTAGCTGTTCCTAAGTTTGGATCAGCCTAATAGCCAAAAATAAAATAAAAAAGTTAATTTATCAAGCTGTCATAGTGATTGCTTGATATAAACTGACAAGAAAAAAAAAAGTTTTTTTATTTTATTTTTATTTTTTTTACAAAGTGTAAAAAAATTAAAATAAAGTGTAAAACAAAATTAGGAAAATATAAATTATATATAAATATATTTTTTATACTATAATTAATATAAAAAAATTCTAAAAAAAAAAAAAAATAATCAAAACTTGTGAAAAAAGTGTTTTCTTCTAGTTTTTTTCCTCATTTTTTTTTTTTTATTCAAACTAAGTGAGGGGTTAGGTACACATATGTGATATAATTATATAGCCCTATCTGTCCTCTAAAAAACAATATATAATATGTGTGGGTACATTTAGTAAGAAAGTATATTACTGCTGTGGAAGAATCACACAGCAAAAATGTAAAAAATGTGTCAGTCATTTATGAACAGAACCTGAAAACTAGCTCAGTCATGAAGGGGTTAATAGAATATACTTCTGATATTTCAACTTACTACACTTGGCCAGGCAAAATACATTATTTATAACAATGGAAAATTGGATGACATGCTCAGTTTCTTTGATTGTATTATGTGTTTTTGCTAGTTCTTTTATTCGTCATTTAATACAATGATAGAAAAAAAAATCAGTGAAAGGCCAGTGAAATAAATGAAGTGTAACATTTTAACGACAGCTTAACAGATATAAATATCCCCTATCGATAAATAGCTTTTTTTCCTTTGTATGTAACAAGTAATTATTTTTGCCAATATGACTGTTAGTCAAGAACATTCTGGGGGAGGGGGGTCAGTCAGTGTTTAAGCAAGTGCATAAACTGATCTGGCACCATCATAGTCTCTTTTCAACTTCCACAACATTCATTTTTGACATGCGTAAACAGGTACATCCATACAAGAGCACCCCAGAGTCACCAAATCCTGGGCACTAAGTTACAAAAGACTCCACCAGAGCTGCAAGGTTAAGATCTTGTCCACCTCCTCAAATTTTAATATTGGTTAAAGAGGCAAGCTATCAGACTTGATGCTGCTAATAGTAATGTGCAGGAGCTGGGCTTAAATTTGACCTTACTAGCTTTGAACAGGATTTGCATAACAGAACGTAGAGCTCTTGGGGAACTCAGAACCACATCCCTATTAGTAGGAAGTTTCTGTTGGTAATATTGCTAGTTCTCACATAAAGTGTTTAATTCATGAAGGACTTCAGTCAAAACTCAAACTTTACATCTAAATATGTATAGAGGTGTCTGCTTTTATATTTCTTGGATGTACCGCTTGGCAGTGAAAAAAGTGTTCCACTCTAACAGTTACAAAATCTTCTCAATCTAAAATCTGAGCTATGATGTCACAGCCCCGTCTTTTGTCAATTATCTTGGTTTAACTGATGGTGTAATGCCCTTTAACTGTCTGGTTTATTTTGAACATGCAGATGACCCTACTACATGCTGTTCCATTTATTTACAGTATTTGGAGCTGCTAAATACAAGTTTTACCCCTTACTTAAATATACAGCTCATACCAAAACAAACAATGAGTGCACAAAATAAATTCTCTATAATTCTACTGATTATATTCTCCTGACCGGAAGTCTACTTTAAATTTAGGCACACCCTCCTTTCTGAAGTAAATTTACTGGTTCACCATCTACTTAGGAATGAGGACCTGGCAGGAAAGGCAGCTGACTATGGTGCTAGGATGGCCTGAGCTGCAGGAGTAACCACTAGTTTTCACTACTGGTGAAAGATCAGATTAGTATAAAAATCTCTATGCTCATCTGATTTTTATCTACAATATGTAAACAGCAAAACCAGCACAGCACAGGTAAACTAAATAGGTCACATGTGCAGAATGACAAATAGTTAGATGTGATCCAAAGTTATCTTAGGTGGTAGATTTAGGCAATGTGGGACACATAAGGCTGTAGTACTACTCTGTGTAAAACATACCACAAGTTGCCTAAGCCTACTGTAAGGTGTACAATATCTCTTGGCCATCTTACAATACAGTAACAATCTTAGTTAGCTGGGGTCAATGCATGGGGTGGATATTATATGACATGAACATGCCCTAAAGTAGGCTGTTATATCTAACAGCCTTCGAGTCAGCCTTCAGTAATGGCCCCTAGGAGTGCCTTGTTAATTCATGCCTCCAGGGTTTACTTAAACCTTCATCTGCAGTTCATTCAATGACATTAAATGAGATGGTTGTGGCTAACTCTACATTGCATCAAAGGATGACAGTAAGGAAGGGTTGATGTTGTTAAAATGGTTCTAATATTCAAAGGCACAGAAACAAGAATTGGTAGACACATACAGGACCTTCCTGTATGTGCAGAAATTATATTGCATTTACCCAACAAAACTCCTAGAGACAGAAAAAGAGAATCCGGCCGTGGAGAGACAAAGAAAAAGCGTAAAATCAGTAGACAAACACACAACAGAAAGCCACAAAGCAACAACAAAGTCAACAATGCCATTAACATAAAGTCAACACCTGCATACAATCCCCATCTGCCTCTAATGTTCCTCTTCCTAAAAAAAAAGTACATAGCTATCTATAAACTAAGAAGTCACCAAAAATAATCTGTTAAAGAAGCATGTAAAGTATTGACTACACATTTCCTAACATCTGAGGCAATTGCACTAATTGTTCTATAGAGGGCAATATATGCTGGAACAACAATTACTGCTCGGCCAAAATATTTTTTCTTCTTTCCATGTATTTTCAGAATAAAAACTAATTACATGTTGTTATGTATTTTATACACATTTGTTAAATACCAATGTGTATTTTAATGACTCAATTTTAAGTGTACCTCCCCTGCAACAGACTTGATTTAGGTGAAATGCTTTGGGTTAGAACAATAATATGTTTGTCCTCCTATGTTACATGCAGTTGGCAGGACGTAGATTTCCTAAATCTAATTGTCCCAGGACATGAGATGTTTATTCTCTAGTGGACTCATGATACAAGGTAACCCTCCATGGCCTCGTAACTAGGATCCACCTATTCATTGATTATGTATACAAGATTGTTCTGCTACAGCTAGTCCTAGGATCTATGGCGCTGCTACCAGGTATACTGGTAAAATCAAGGGCACTTTGTCAGATGTTCAAGTTGAATCCAGGGTAGTTCTATTAGGTCTAGCAATATAACTGGAAGTATTCCTGCTATCTCTACAATACTAGGTCTACCATCCCTGGATAACTGCTAGGTCTACCTGAAGGATCCAAGTCCAGCCTGTGTTAGGTCTGTTGGTGATGCAGCGTGGTCAGCTAGGTTTACCACTTTTATTTAAAGTCCTCCTGTTATTTCTAGAATCAGGATCCAGGATGATCCTACTAGGCCTTGTGGTAGGATCTATTGTGGATTACTAGGTCTAGTTGAAGGATCCAGCAAAATTATGCAAAGTCTAGTGGTAGACTACAGGATAGTCTGCTAGATGTACTGGTAAGATTAAGGGTGTCCTTGCTATGAGTACTGGTGTTATTTAATGCAATTCCACTATCTCTAGTAATAAGATGCAGGGTGGACCCATCAGGTAATATGTTGGGTGAATCCTTCAGTATCTAAAGGGCGGTGCTTCTAGTAGATACTAGGTAGGTTCTGCAGTAATATCCAAGAAATGTCTCCTTGATCTAGCTATAGGATACAATGTTGTTCTGTTGGATATAGTGCTAAGTTTCAAGGCTATCCTGCTAGGTCCAGCAATAAGACTGCAGTAAGCAGTACGATTGGCTTCTGCTATGTCTAGAAGTAGAATCCTAGATGTTTCCTAGTGGTGGGATCCAAGAGGGTTATACTAGGCTGCACTCCCCTCCATTCTTACAATGCTCCCCTGTACAGCATCTGCTAAAAATCAGCTTTCCAAAAAGAATTTGCAGAACTGAGAACATAAAAAAACAAGAGGACAGAAGAAAGAGGAGAGCATTGCAAGGTTATTCAGCAATAACTAAATACAGAATTTTCCAACCCAACCCAGTCGCACCATAAATGCATGTGATTTAGTGACCTGTGTGGTGGATATCCAAAAAAACTGAATTGCTAGTGGGGCCTGTAGATATATTTGGAAATCATTGACATAAAGTTTATGTAAATATAACATCTAATTAATGAAAGGATTAATGTTTTATTTGTCCAACTGAACTAAGCAAAAAACTACACTAACATACACCAATATATCATCATCATTTTTTTTAAATTAAATTAAACACATCTAGAGAATGCTTTAACAATATCAATAAACTAGTTTACACAGAACAATAAACACCAATAGTTCATGCTGCTCATCACCTGTATTTATGATAGTTAGGGTAGACAATACTTACGAGAAAGCGAAAGCCACCAAGGCTCCACTGACCACGATGAAGTCTAAAATATTCCAAAGGTCCCGGAAATATGAACCAGAATGGAGGAGAAGACCCAAATCAATCATCTGCAGACAAAGAAAAAGCTCTTATGTGGACCAATACGCAGAAAACATCAACAATGCAATGTAATGTAATGTTGGATATCAATGCAGCCGCCACTGGTTCTAGCTGTTTTAATCTCAAGAAACAATCAGCTACCACGCATAAATTCTACAACCTTATTGTAAAATTCACCATTTAAGCCCCAGGCCCCCAAGTGGCAGCCAGGGTCAAGTTATCTTAACCATCTTACCTGCCACAACCCCATGTCTCACGCAACCCCATCTAAGACAAGGTGACATCCACCACTTACACACACCCATGGTTCCAAATCATGATCCATCAACAGACCAAATCTCTACATGGATGTAACAGCAAGATGAGACACTAACAGGGTTATTCACAAAAGGGTGAAGAGTTTGGAGAAGGCAGGAGAAGGGAACAATCTAGGACAACATAGCTGAACTGAAAAGTGAGCTGAACAGGTGAATTTTTCCAAATCAGCTATTTTGGCCTAGATTGTTCACTTCCCTTGCCTTCTCGCAACCCTTCACCCTTTTGTGAATAACCCTATAAGGGTCGCCAACTGCACTGCACACATTTTCTGGCTATGGTGCCTACACACCAGGCCAAATTGCTCTGCAAAACCCTCCTGTTACCATTTCCTAAGAACAGCAATTCCTAAGGCTGTGACTTTGTAATAAAGTGATTACAACTTCCCCCAACTGAGCCTCTCTGCAATGTAATTATGCATGTCTTTAATTCAGTCTTATTATGCTCAAAGCTGTCCATACCATGTCCTATTCTTACTGCAGTCTGCAGGAAGTAATTTGTTAAAAGAGGTGTAAGTTTTAGATAAGTGTCAATGGTGAGGCTCTATGTCTGCCCAGTGGCACTGGAAAAGCCCTGTTCACTGTCTTTAGAACAGTTGCCATGTTTTCTGTATACCCTTATCAGTGCAGTATTAGTTAAGCTTTGGATGATTTCACCTCACTTCCTGTGACAAAAGAACAAGACATGAGGGGAGCAGTTGTCACTGGGACAGAACTGGAGAGATGTTTCTTCTCCTGAAAGGTACTGACGGGAAATATCCCTATTGTGGACACAGACTGCAAATAAAAGAGGTTTTATCTCTTTCTCAAGTTCAAAACTAGAAAAAAGTCCAGGCTGGAGTTGGCCTTTAACTTGTAATATAGGGGTTATGTGTAAAATGCTTATTGCATGGATAATATGCTGATCTTTTGAATTTCATACTATGAGTCATTGATCTGGAACAAGAATAAAGATAAAGAAAGTTAGAGTAAAGTTAGAAGTCTTTACCTGTATATGTGTTTCCGGTCAGTCACTCAAAGTTTTTTGGCAAAATGCCCTTAACTACAGCGAGACCCAGTGACACAAATTACACATTGCTACACAACAGTCTATTGAAACTGCCAGCAATGGATGAAAAGGGATGCAGTGTTATTGGGTTGATAAACGTCCCAGTATGATCTCTTAGGCACGTGAAGGAAGTTTTCTCCATTAAGTGGGTGTTTTTCTCAGTTCAAAACGCTGACTAATGTTTTAAGAACTTTCCATATTTAATTAGTGAATGAACAAGAAGCGCCTTCTCAGAACGGCCAAGCTTTTAATTAGTGCACAGGAATGACACAGCTAATATTAATTAGGTTTTGCTGGAAGTCTACGGAAAACACTGTACAGGAGGCTCTGTGTGGCTTCACAGCGCAGGAACTGTTGAGTAATATCAGTAGAGAGTGTTTAACCAAAGCGGACAAGAAAAACCCAAAACAAAACCTAGCAGGGGGAAAACTGAGACCCAAATATTTCTCATGTCTTTTTATAACTTATATTCTGTATACTGGAGACATGAATGACTCAAGCCAAGAAAAAAAATTAGATATGGTGACAGACTCTGAAATACTATACTATATACTTTTATGACTTGAGAGTTATATGTAACATAAAATTGCATGCTGCTAGATTTCTTTAGCGTGTTTATTTTCAAGGTGATGGCCACTAAAGTACAGCTGTCACTTTGCCATGCAGGACAAAATGACATATTCCCTTGAAAGCCATTTCTTCCATTCCATGATAGTGACCCCCAGGCATACTTTCCTGCCGCTCCAGTTACCTGTCAGAGTTATTGCCAATACTTCCACTTACAGGCGAACAAGTAAACCCTTCTATTTCCTCCCATGATTTAGTGCACAGCCAATCATATGCATTATCATGTGGGGGCAGGGATGGTCATTAGCCCTGCCTGGCAACACACAACACCATTTTGCCTATAACAGAAAACTGTCTCCCCCCTTTTTTTTTTTTTTTTTGCAGAAAAAATGGGTTCCATGTTAAGTACCTCCCCATCCTGACATTCACTTTGGGATATTGGCAACCCAAGACCAGTTTATTAAACTAATGAGTGTTATTATATTTTTGACTTAATTAACAGACAACTGCACAAATGCACATTGTTCCACATCAGCATACAAGATAGAAAGTCTTTACCTGAGAACTGTGGGTAGTAAAGACAACCCATGTAGAGGTTACCCTTACCTTTATCACCATCTCAAAAGTGAAGACTCCCGTGAAAATGTAATCCATGTATTTCAGCACCTGCAATCACATTGATACCAAAAACATTTACCAACAAATATGACAAAGAATACTGTGGCAAAACAAAAATCGATGGCTTTGCAAACGTTTTTAATAGGAACTTTTGCATTTGCCCCAAAGCAGGACTGATCTCTGGATGCTCAGTCATTTTAGCTATGTGCCTATAACTGTGCTATTACTTTTGGAACTGAAGGAACACATATAATTGTGACTTAAGGAAATCTACAAGCAAAAGGGCAGCAGTAGGGCAGCCTATTTGTTTGAATGGGCTGCCTACCACATGTAAAGTGCATAACTCTTTTTTTTTTAAATTGCATTATAAATGTATAAATAAATGAGGGGTTAAAAGTAAATGTAAATAAATATGTAACAGATCAGGACCTGGCTGTCAAACTACAACCCGGTCCTGGCAGTGTTGCACAACTTTGTAGCATTGGAGGGTGAGGAATGGGTCATACAGGTATGCTCAAGGTACTTGATTTAAGTTTTTTTTAGCGTGTATACTTTTAATATGAGGCAAAGATTTCCAATGCACAAGCATGGGCTTTCTAAAGAGTAATCATCACCTTTCACACATGCTATACTGAGTGGAAGAAGTCACTGCTCCGTCTCATTCACTTGTGTGTAAATTTTTGTTTGAGCTACTGAGCTCTGTAAACAACATGCTTTTAACAAGAAAAGATACCTAAAACTTCACCTGCTGTCTGAAAATGAGTGAGCATAACATTTTCATTCAGTATGTACTGCTAAAAGAACAAATATTTAATCAAAATATTTTATTAGTCCTGTCCGTGATAAATAAATAAAATATATACATATATTGTTTCCTTTAACTCTCTTTCTAACATGTCCTCATTTCAGATTTTGAAATACTTGCATATCAGAATACAAATACATGCTGAACTTTCAGGGTTGCTTACATCGTTGTGAGGGGCATCAGTCTGTACTGGGTCTTCTGCAGCCAGTGCAATGCTGCTCAGGGCAATGACCACCAGGATGACCATCTCAAAATAGCGCATATTGACGATGTAGTGACACAGGCGGCGGACTCTGTCAAGTGAGGAAGAAGAAAAACCATCAGACATTTGGTCTTTACTACCTCACATGCCCTCCACACACTAAATTCTTCCTCTGTTTGATGAAGCTCCTGTCAAACCATTTTTCAACAACCAAGCAAAAGTCTGACGCAAATGTCCTCCGGGCTGGAATGAACTGCTGACAGAAATCGTTCATTTGACAAAATGACCCAGCCTTTCTGTACCACAAATGAGGCCTAACAATGACAACTGAGGGATGATGGAGAATGTGTTGGCAATTCAAAAGCACTCACGGGTTGGTGGAGCTGAAGATGAACATGGAGCTGTATGGCAAGATCTGCTTCGGCCCATTTTTCGTTAAGTCTTCTGCTTCCATCTCCTTCTTCTCCTCAGACTTAACATCGAATTCCACATTATTGACTGTGAGGAGTCATGAGAAGATGTATGGTTATTCTGTGTGGGATCCATTTTGTGTGCTGGTATGTCAACAGATCACTAAGAACTAGTAATGTTCCTACCACTGTAATATCACCCAGAGAAGTCCTGAGAGAGCATTATCTAGTTGAGGGGGGTACTGAGTGCACTGTGATGAAATGTAGGTTTGCTCAAAATAAAAAAACAGTTAAAGCCTAACTTCATCCACAGTTTGTTAGAAAGTGAGGAAGAGCTGATAAAATTATATTATTCCTGTTAAGTGACCCTATTAGGGAAATTCTCCCCAACTTCCAGCCTCTGTGACATCAGAGATGGAGGGTGTGGTTGTTACTGGGATTTGAAGGCATAGAGAGACATAAACACATTATCCAACGTTCTCACTCTTCCTCACTCTACAAAAATGTGTCTTTGGTTGTGTTCCCATTGGAGAGATTTCACATCACTTACTGTCATGACAGAAAGTTAGGGGAAACTTCCTTTATGGGGACACAGGTGGCAGTATAACCTGCCAGAGGTTTGAACCCTTCACCACTCTATCCAAAACAAAATAACATTTTTGCTTTTGGTTTAATCAAAATGGTTGTGATACTAAATTATAGTTAAATATATATTTATAAAACCCCACTTCAAACGAGTGTGTATTTCTTTCTTTTGCACAATAATTAAAATATTGTTACTTATATTATTATAACATTATACAATAAAAATTATAAAATATTACCGATACTGATTGCCCATATCCACTCCGATAGCTCGTTTTTTGTAGGTCTACAGTAAAATGTCTGCTGCCATTAACATCTACAAAAATAATGTCAACCACCACTGACTAGGGACATTTTCCTTGACAATAGTTTAAATTGTGAACTCTATGTGTGATGAAAATGGCCAGAACTCTTGTCTTTTATAGGTCCACGTGAGGATACCAAAGGCAATGGATAGTGGAGACTGCACATAGACACTCTGTGTGATGTAAGACAGGGCTTCAAACACGTCTGGTCATTGAATGTCTGGTCACCACAGAATTGGTAGACCTTGAAGGTATCTTGGAATTATCCCACATCAGTTGACTAATTATCTGCTTTGCCTTTCCGAGGTTACTGCCAGTTCCTACACTGGAGACTGTTATTTAATGGAAGACTAGTGGATAATTTTTATGGCAGTTTAGGAGTTTTTATTTTGCAAAAATAAACATTCTCACAGGGGGAGCATAGAGGGGTGGTAACAGCATTGAGTATCAGTAATTTAGCTTATAGTAGCTCATAATATGTTATTTCTTTTTATGACTCACATATTTTTCCAGCTAAAGCAAAAACATATTTTTTACAGTTAATTTTAGATATATACAAGTAATTGTGTGCCCTTTCTGCTGGGGGGTCATGATGATGAAAGCCATCCAGAGACTTGGTGGGGAGAGAAGAGACAAAGATCAATAATGTAGCAAAATGAGATGAGCATAATTAATGCAAATATTTTAAATGAGTGATATAATTTGTAAAAATATATGTACATGGTAGCAGCTGTTACTTCCAAGGGACTTATCTTCACTTATCCTCTTTCCTAGTACAAGTCTATGGGTCAGGCCTGAATTGTCTGAAAGCAACAGACTCTCTATAATGATAAATTAATTTATTTCAGCATTCCTTAAAGGGTCACTCTTGCCAAAAGCAACATGTCAGTTGTTTTTAACTCCATGACAATTGAGTTACTTTTCCGAAAAGTTGAAGTACCTGAGAGTTTCTTTTATCTCTCACAGCCTCTATTGGTAGTATTGCTGTGCTGGGATTCCCAGTCTGCACACCTGCTGTAGCCAATATGAGGGTTTCCCACTATCCCTGCTGGATTTTTCTATTTATTTAATATTATGCAGATACAACAGGAGGAGCTGAAACACAAGAAAGGTGGGTGGGAACACCCAAAACTCCCAGGTAGACAGGAACAGAGTTGGGAATTATGGCAGAGAGCTGTCACTGTTGGAGTATTCAAAACGTATAAGAACTGAATAACACGGCCAAGCTCAATTTTTGGGTGGATGGGCAATTTAGGCAGGTATGCTATCCACATGCTTTGATTTGGAGGTGACCACTAGAGGGAGCACTTACAAATATGTTCATTTAAAATAAGGAACAACAAGTAGGTGAAAATATGAGTAGGATCAAACACTACTTTTGGACAAATGTTTAGTGATAATACAAACATTTGCATGTGAATTTGTTTGCAATACAATATCCAGGGGAACGGCAAGATAAAAGCAAGAGACATACCAAATTTCAGCACTGTGGGCGTAGTTTAGTCCATAAATGACAGTCCGTACAAAAGAGATCAGAGTAACAGGAAGCAGAAGGCAGCTTTGGGGTTACCCAGGGAACATATAAAACTGTGTACAGAATAAACACTGCCCTGTCCAGATAAAATGAAGACTATTAAAAATAAAGGTACACTGCCCTTTAAAAGGTTTAAGGTATTCTAGCTAACTCCAGCAATAACGTTTGAGGTTCATTATTTCTTGAAAATAAAATTTTATGTCTACAAAGTATAAACAATCCTTTAAGCTAACAAATAATCTGTTGATTAAGAAGCTTAATGTCATAGATAAATTAGTGCGTACTGTATAAATATCCATTTTAGAATTTGGCAAGTGCAGAATGTGCATTAACCTTTAATCCCCTGCTGATGGGAATGTCATAGGCGTTGTATATAAATTAACATTTTGGCATGGGTGAGGTGCTGGTGCTGGCACGTGCCAGGAACAGTATTTCTAAGCAAAAACCTGTTCTCACTTGGTATGACGGCAGTGTCTCCGGGTGGTGCTGTGATGGTGACAGGTATATTAACCGTGCTGGAGTGGTCCGTGTGCGGCTGAGACATACGGTTTACATTTTTCTGGTTATCGGCATCTTCTGATTGCTCCGGCAGCTGTTGTAGACCCCCAACAGGGACCTCAGCCTCGTTACGGTGGTCCCTGCAGAGATATATATTTATTATTAAACAAGACTTCCAAAGAGTTGGTACAGATGCTGGAACAGGTAGAGGGAGAGGGAGCCTTAATAACATGAGATTAACATTGAAAAACTGTCACATGCTGAGCTGAGGCTTTGAAAAATTGACAGAAATGGATACACATCAAAAAGACACAACCTGTAATCCTTACACTCATACTTTCTTATCATACAACATCTTTTCTCTAGCACTGCTTCAGTGAATTACTAGTGCAGTCAGAGACAGGATGACAGCTTCTAATCCTGTAACTTTAAAAATCAAGTTTGAATCAACCTGTAAATTATCATTGTTAGAGCCGGAAATATTGCATCTATAACTTTTCACAAGTGGAATCTTCTGACTTAAATACCTGTTCAGGATTAGGGAGTCACCAAATTATTGGCACCAGGAACATTGCCATCATGCTCAAAGATTAGTTAGAATCTCTGAGGGCCAGTAGATACAAGTGTTCTTTTAAGGTTTATTTCCCATCATGTGACTCACAATGTGTGTGAAAGGAAACATGTCAGCATTGCCCCTCAAGCAACCAACCAGCTTCTTCCTTCCCATTCCTCCCCAGTACTACTACGTGAAGGCGAGAGAGCTGACCAGTCGCTAGGGACAACTCAGTCATTTCTAGACACTCCCAAACTTTAGGGCCAGAGTCCTTATGTTGCTAGACCATGGAGTTACCTGGGTCTGTGATTGCGATGTTCCCTCTCGGCAGATTCTCCATCTTTGTTTTCTCTATTCTCCTCTGTGTCATAAGTAGAAAGTGCTTTGTGCCTGTTGCGATGACGTGACCGTGGAACCTCTTCCCCATTTTCACCACGAGTTGTGCCATCTACGTCCCTGTTGCCGGATCTAGACCCTCCACCTCGGTGTCTAGACTTTCTCTCGCCTTTGCTGTTGGAACCCGGTTGCCCATTTCCATCTTTACCTTGTCTCTCTGCAGAGTGGCGGTGTGTGCGGTGCCGGCGGTGCTCCCTTTCTGTGCCCTCTTCAGGGGAGGCCTTGCGGTGGTGTCGCTTCCCCCTCTCCTCTTCCTTCCGCTCTCCTCTTCCTTCCTTCCCACCTTCCCCTTCTTTGCTGCGACTTCTATGCTGACGATGGCGTTCTTCTCTATCATTACTACCAGAGTCTCCATTATGGTTGCCATTCTCTTTACAGCCACCATTGGTCTCATCTGTGCCTCTCTCGCGATGTCTATGTTTCCGCGGTGCTGGCTCCGTAGCCCCTTCAGGCCCTGGCTCTATCTCATTGGGTGCTAACTCTTCTGGGCTGCCATCTTTGGTCTCCGTGGAATCTTGTGGCTCCACCAGCAGCGGTCGGTCCATGTGACTCTTCATATCAGGCCTCAGCCGCAGAGTGGTGGCATAGCGCATGCGGTCTTCAGGCTCCAGCTCACTGTAGAGTGCCTCACAGCTGGCCTGGAAGTTGTGCATACGGATTTGGGTTGTGCGCTGCTCCCACACCGACCGACATTTGGTAGAGTTTTGCTGTTTGCTGAAGAAGCAGAGGAAGTTATATTGACGAAATCACTCTATTCAAAAGATTAGGAAGATAGAGGAGAAGACAAAGATGGAGACCAAAACATAGAAAATACACAGATCAACCAAGAAAAACAAAAAAACAAGCCAAAGCAATTCAAAAGTTGTGAAAATGTATGATAAATGCATAACTAATAGGATGAATGAATAATGAAAGGGAAGGCATACAGAACTCTGATTCATAGTGGAAAGAAAATAGAGTAGGGAATTGGAGGCAATATTGGGTTACTATTACTTTCCTGTAACTGCCACAAAATTCCTTTAATTTTCCAGAGACACAACATGAGAACAAATCTCTCCAAAGTGAAGGGAAACCCGCCCCTTGTACACGTGTCACCAAAACAGAGGTCTCCATTGGAAGGTTTCCCCTCACCTCGTGTTCCAGGAACAACTGTCACATTTTAGTTTTACCATCATTTTCTGTCCCATTGGCAATAGGCACCAGGACACAAACACAGAAAGTAAAAAAAAAATCTAACACAGTATCCTATGGTTGCCCAGTCTAGGACTAAAAAAAAATCAGCCCAAACTCAAAAGTAATTGCACAGGCCACTATTTCATGTTCACGATCTCTTGTCCCTTTGTGCTGGGTCAGGGCCATTCTTTTAATGAAAGATATTAATAAAATGTAAAAGGATGTGAACACCCAAACTGGCATTGTAGTTTTGAATAGTTTATGGCATGTTGCATGCTGCACAGCAGATCTGTGGTGGTGATTACAAAGCCAAATGAAGGTGTCATCCTTTCTTGATGAATTTTCCATGATGTAGACTAAGCAAGTAACTGTGGATTTTAGCTGTGAATGACAACTGTTTTGTGGTCTTATTAGTGGGGAAGAGACGCAACTCATGTATGGAAATCTCATCATTGTGGGAGCAGTAGAGACACAAAACACTGTGGGAAAATATCACCATAGTGAAAGAGGCAGAGAAATATTTACCACAGGGAAATCTCACCATTGTGGGAGAGGCAGAGACACAAACTATTGCAGGGAAATCTCACCATTGTGGGAGGGGTAGAGACTCAAACTACTGCAGAGAAATCTCACCATTGTGGGAGGAGCAGAGACACAAACTATTGCAGGGAAATCTCACCATTGTAGGAGGGGCAGAGACTGAAACTACTGCAGGGAAATCTCACCAATGTAGGAGGGGCAGAGACTCAAACTACTGCATCACTTTTCATCAAAAAAAATGGGCTGAAAATCTCGGCTTATACTCGAGTATATACGGTAAGCTGTAATATAAGACATTGTACACCTTTTGTTTTGATACACCTGGAATGACTTTCGGTGATGTAAACTAGGGGTTCAATTGGACTTTAAATTAACTACATGAGAAACTGTAGCTCTTTTGCCTTGCTAGTTAATTTTCACTTAATACCCCCACTTAGAGCTCTCCTTTAAACTTAATATTCCCCAAGACAGTCCGCTTTTATTTAAATGATGTCATCAGATTTTTCTCCTGATAATTAGTGTGTGATAAAGTCTGATATCATTTTTAATAACCATTTCTCACTGTGTTTAATGAGAGGCCGGTGGACGCAGAGATGAGCACAGCTATTCTTAGTAGTTGAGGATGTATTATTTAAATACAGATCGCTCTATTTCATATTCTTCCAGCGCTGAGCCCAAATGATTTTGCTGGAGAGTCGGAATAAAATAGGAAAGTTTAATGAGCGAAAATGAAAAGATAGCCGAACAGAAAGGCAGATTGTAATAGGGTAATGTGAAGTAAAGATAGCTTCTCAGACAACTTCTGCAGCTATTGAAGAACTAAAAAGCCCAGCATTCAATTTCTATCAGCTGGCTTAGGTCTTAGCAACATGCTCAATGTACATGAATGGGAAACATCAGTTCTTTTAGATCCTTTCTAGAATGACTATAAATCTAGATAGGACTGCTCTAAAGAAATCCTGTACTAAAGGCATTATAGGCTGCCGTTGCTGAAAATACTAGTTGCATGGATGTCATGTCTTCACTACTTTCTAAGCCCCTGCCTTAAAAAACACTTAAACTATTCCAACTTCAGTATTGTGCTGATAGTGAGGTCTGACATATCCCCAAACTGTGTGTACAGACTAGGGGATTAGTACTGAACACTGTGCCGCCCTATTTTTCCCAAAATTCGCAAATTGGTAACAAAAACCAGTCAGATTTGTCCCTTGGTTTCCTCACGTACAATGCAGGGGTATGAAGCCTGCATTGTACTTGATGATGTCAGCGGTCCTTAGATCACTGGAGCGAAGATAAAGCGGGGATCAGGTAAGCTAAACAGCTTTTTCCTGTCCCCTAGGCATAAACGAGCAATTAACCCTTGCAGTGTGGGGGCAGCCCCACTGCAAGGGAAAGTTTTTAATTTTGTTGGAGTTATACTTTAAACATCCAATCCTAAAACAGTGAGTCATTTTAAAGGGAAACTAATATAATAATGTAATTTCAGTTGGTATGAATACATATTCTGATATATTATTGTAGCAGCTCTCTGAAAGTAATATTTGACATGACATTTACATTTTTAGTGCTTGGAAATTTCAATTACCATATTTCATGGACAGAATTGTAAAAACTCCCTCCAGTGGTCACCTTTATATCAGGGAATGTGATTCCCATCCCTGACCGCTGAGTTAAGCTGATTTTGCCTAATAGTGAGTACACTGTCTGAAGTCAGGTCAGACTTCACCTATAGACTTGTGCTGGGAAAACGTAGCAATAAAGCGCAATCTCCATGCAGGACTACTAATTGGAAGCTCAGCCAGCATATGTAATGAGAAAATATGTCAGCCCCCATGTACATATTTAATTACAGACTGTACAAGGAGACATAGTTTTCAAAACTGAAACATGCCCTGATAATAATATGTACATTAAAATAGACTTATTATCTAGTTTTTTATGTTAATCAGGAACTCTACTCAAATCTTTAAAATAACAACAAAGAAATGTTTAATAATGACAATCTACAAACACATACTTCTAGATGATTGCAGGCTTTGTATTCTTTTCTTCCCCATTCTCACAGTGGCCATTTTTACTAAGGGCAGGTTACTAGATCTTCTTTACTTCCTGAAACTCTGGCGCATGTGACTAGGACATGTGACCATGCACATCATCTCAGGGGAGGAAAATGCCTTTCCCTGAAATCATGTGAGATTACAGATGGGATTTCCCAGCAATGCTCTGCTGATGTAACCTTCCCAGGATGCAACGCTTGGCACGATAATCTGTGGCCAAGAGGACAAGGAAGTGTATAAACTGTAATTGTAAGTAAATTCAAAATATGTTTGTTTAACTAATGAATTTAAGATGATTTCATATCAGCATGCAGAGCTGCATGCTGATGTGATTTTTAGTGAAAGGGGGTAAAGGTCAGTTTTAAGGGAATTAATGAAATGTAATGTTTAACTGTAATACTTCCAGGAATGTATTACATTTATTACTGATTACAGAGATCACCGTACTCCCACTGACAATGCCTTCTTCTGCTTTTCTCTCCAAATGGACAGAGCCATCTTTGTTCAGGCATCATCCAGAATCATCATGTACTTCCTGGATTGAGATGCTTAGAGATAACACAATCATGTAAATCCTCCTGATGCCTGTGCAGTGATCACTGGAGAAAGGAGAGTATGGAAATGTTTCCTTCTGTCTGCAGCAGTCAGATTAGATAATATCATCTCAAAGTCACATGACTGGAGCTCACGGACTGCTTTTTATAATGAAAGGTAAAGCTTTTAAAAAAAATAATACTATTTCTATACATAGTGGCATGCCAGAAATGTAATAACGCAGTTTTATAAAGTTACAGATAGGTGCAGTTAATCTGATTATATTCATACCTACTGTAGCGTTTCTTTCGCTCCACTTAAACTTTGTGATTTTTTTTTTATGGCTGCATAAATGCAACATTCTCCTTACCAGGTAGTAAATGGTTTTATGTAAATCTAACTGTAAATGGTATGTACACACATTTATCCAGGCGTTCATGCTCCTTCCTCTCTCCTGTATCTGTGAGATACGTTGATCTATGGGAGCGCAGTGTGTGCAGGATTTAGGGGATTCGGACGCAGCGGGAGACGGGAAGAACTGGGTAATTTGCATAGTGATGAGGTCTATTTTTTAGCTTTGCTTTAACAAGGGCAGCGCAATTAGATGCTCGGGGGCACCTCAGAAGCATGGCTGGTAGGGCTGACGGGTCTACACAGAGGCCCAGCAGAGTCAAATTTGGAAAAATAAAACACCTCAATGTTAAATATTTAAGCTGTGACAGCCAATCAGGAGGAAAATGAAGAAAGGGCTCTAGGACCATCATTTACAAAATATCCTAGTTGCATGCCTGCATGGCCAATGCAGCATTTAAGATGATCTATACTGAGAAAATACATAGGCTGCCAACAGTAAGCTCTCCTAGTTAATTTCCTGGCTGCCATGTTATCCAAAGGCTTCCATACTTTCTGAGTCACTGACCCGGAACAGCTATGCAGACTAAGAGCTTCTTAAGTCTGCATAGCTGTTCCGGGTCACTAGTTGCATGCTTGTTGTGGATCACTGATTGGAAAGCACACCGGCTTCTTACTTCTCAGGAACTCTAGTAACAAGATCTCCAAGAACCTTCTCAATGCTGCAGCCATTACAAAGTCAGCTACAAGAGTGCACCTTCTTTATTGTGGTAGGGGCAGAGACACAGATTATCACATATCACCAATAAAATGTATAATCAGCGAGGGGGAAATTAGTGCCCACTCAAAGCTGGAATATCAGCTGGCCTTTATGCTTTCATTATTTCACATTGCACAGTGACTATAAATACAGATGTCATTTTTTTAAAGGGCATACTGTAGGACAAACGTTCTACTGGCAAGTTTCACTCTGTAACATCAATTCCTAATTTTGCTTCTATTTAGAGTGTGTAGCGGCTTCGCTTGCCAGGCCGCTGTCTTGCCAGATACCATTCTTCC